TCCACAAGCTTTCTTGATCAAGCTCGACGTTGTGAATGCTCGACCTTGTGAATTCCGGGTCTTCAGGAACACTCGGTGATGTTCTGAAGACAGCTCTGTAAACGCTGCAAGGGAATCTAGGATAGAGCGCCAGCGACAATCCAGCTGAATTACTCTGAACTCGTCTGGTTGTTCGCTCAGCCTCTACATGCCTGGTAGACGTGGCCTCAAAGGGCTCTAGCTGCCTCACCACAGCGAGACACGGCGAGCAATGGCCGGACAACTGGCCGCTGACTGCCAGCCACAAGCTCAAGTTCAGGCGATTTCCATCGTTGCAGACGAGTGCTCTTCATGGAGGGTGGCAGTGGCAACCAAGTAAGCAGCAACTGCCGTCGTTCAAAAAATAGCACAGGAACATACAGGAACGATCTCTTAGGCAACCGGCGAGAGTGCGAAGCGTCGAAGCCCAGCATGCTGGCATAACAGCTCTCGAGAATGCACAGAGTAGTCAGAGTAGTCTGTCCTTTTGTTTTTGAAGATAACCCGGCCTTTCAATAGTCGGTTCAAGGTTCCTCCATTGATGAAGGTTCTGGGCTTCAGCTAATTCAAGCTACAATCCGCTGCGTTGACACGACGTGGCAGCAATGTTCTATCTCGATCGTGCCAAAGCTTTTCAGTGACACTTCGCAACGATCAGATCACGGCAAAAACTTGTGCTTGCAGAGCGAAGTGTCAACCACCGGAAATGCATGAACCGCGGCTCTCAGCTGTGAGGCCAGCATCCAGGTCTGTCTTCACGTCTGCGCACCTCTGGTCGAGCTGTTTCCTGGCAGCTGGATTGACAACCTGCCCCGGAACTCGCAGCAGATCGGAGCAGGTGGCAGTACATGCTCAGTGGGCCTTACTCTCCGTCGGTTGAGCCCTTGCTGAGTCAGCTGCAGCTTGTGTCCCAGGCCTTCAGCGGAGAAATGGATTCAGCGTTGCAGCGGCATTGTAGTTGGTCGGTGGTCCGAACACCTTCAGACTTCTGTGGCATCGCAACAGGCTCAAGTCAAGCTAGCCGGGGATGTGCATGTGCTCTTGAAGAAGCATCTGCAAACATCTGCACATCTTCAGATTGAAGCAGTCAGCATACCACTGGGTGCAGAACAAGCTGTGCCGTGCGAGGTTGCTAGACTAACAAAGCCCTGAATGCAATCCTTGCCCTGGCGGCAATTACCCGACATCTAGCAAACTCACCGCCCTTCCCCTTGATTGCAGTCAGCTCACCGTGGGTGTGCCACGAGGCAGCAGCCTCGAGCTATGAAAGGTACATGTTTAGACATGTTGTGCCGAGGGTAATGGTCGCCGAAGGCATTGCAAGGGCTTCTTTGTTTTTGCCAACGGGGCTCTTCGTGACCCCATGCCTTCTTCAACTAGTTCAAGTCTTGGCGTTCTGACTGGGATGGGGGTGGGGGGTGGTTGCGCGCAGGCATGTCAGAATATGTGGCAGTTGTCGCACGGCACTGCGAAGCCGAACTCACTGCGCTTGCCAGCATTCTTGAGGGTTACTCAAGTAGGCAGTTCTAAGCCAAAGCCAAAACCTGAAATCATGTTGCGCAATGAAAATCTTGAATAGTGACGTTCGCAGAACCTCGAAACTTGACTACGTTCAGAGACGCTAGCAGGCGCCGTGATTGAGGCTTCAATGTGCCGCACCATCAACAACTGTCACGCTGTCTGACATTGCCCTGCAAGTGGCCCCAAAGTGAAAACCGAAGGAAGATGCAGTTTTGAGACTCCTGTACGAAAACCCGTCTTACATGCTGGTCGCTAACCTCACCGGTACCTTGTTCTTGCCAAGTTGCTGCGCTGTGCCGCACCCTTGAACCTGCCGTGCGATGATGCATGGAGGCTTGCTGTCACCTACCAAATCATCATGCTGTGAGGGGGTGGTGTACCCGCCCGGCCCCGAACCTTGCTACCCACACCGGCCAGCACCCGACACCCCGTCAGGCAAAAGCAGCTGCACCCGCGACAAATTCAAAACACACAGACCACGACGACTGACACAAGGTAAGCTGGATCTTTCGCCGCAACTCAACGTTTCTGACCCCCATGACAGGTGAGGAATCCGCTTTTTGAAGCCTTAGGGGCTCCAAGCGGTCCACACAACTGGATTCCCTAGGGTGGGGAATCCGCTTTCTTGAAGCCTTAGAGGGCCCCCAGTGGTCCACAAAACCTGGATTCCCTGACCCTTTGCGCAGAATTCAAGTGTTTTTGATCCCCACAGGCGGGGAGTCCGCTTTTTCGAGCCTTCGAAACTGCACGACTTTGAACACGATCCACACGGTGAGCGGCGGCAGGTGCCAGCCCACTGGTAGCGAAGTGTCAGAACGTCGAAAGGGACTCTCGATGCGTACATCTGGCTGGGACCATCCGAAAAACCCCTCAAAATCTTTCGTTTTGGATGCGTCAATTTCTCTAAGGATTCCTCGCCTGAAACTTGTCGTGGTCTGTTCTTCGTTATCTTCTTTGTCGGGGCTACTTCCGGTGGTCCGAACATTCTTTGTCGAGGGGTCCCAAAACGCTGCCGGGGATACACCACCCTGTTGTGCGTGGTATGTCCTGGCCTGGTTGCCGCGGCAGTGAGCCGGGTCTGCCCAGTCGGGCCTCACGCGCTCACACGCCCTCCCTCGCATTCAAGACCTGTGCACATCTGCTGCTGCCAGGTTCGTGGCGGAAGCGCTCCGCCGCAGCCACCGCCCCCCGCGGCCGTCGCACCAGAGATGCTGACCAAGTGTGCAGGCACCTGCTGTAAACCCGCAGACCATAAGCACGCACTGATGTTTCGAGTTCTGGGACGAAGATGTCCAAACTGCTACCGTATAAAGCTCTAACATGCTGCCTCCACGACAGATGGTTCGGCAGGGGCGGCCCTGAAAAGCGCAGAGCCAATCAATCAAATGAGGACTTTCCGCAAGACCATGTGAGGCGCAGGAAACTTCAGCACGAGGTGCTGAGGATTAATTGTGGACGCCGGCGTTGCCATCATGCCGAAGTCGACCTCGAACACTTCGAGAACCCAGGCAGCGATGTAAGCGACATGAAACGATGGAAGCGATGGTACGGCTAAAGGGTGCAGGTGATGACTTGACTTGAGGGCCGCTGGCATGCTGCAGCAGCTGCTGCGACAGTATGGCCCGAGACGCAGGCAGTCGTCACAGATCTGGCTGATGGAGATGCTCCGCCATCGACCTTGCCATAACTGAGAGTCATCTGCAAACTTGAATGTTGCACCTCTCGGAGATCACGCAGACTCTAGTCTCTTCCAGAAAGCCACTTCAGCAGATCATATCCGAATGTGACTGCCCAGCTCCACCATATCACATCAACTTGCAAGGACCTTCTGTCTCTTGGGCACGGACAGGGTAGTACCTTGTCTGGACCTTGAAGCTTCTCTTCAGCTCTACAGCTGTGATGGCAAAGACAGCCAGCACTGCGCTCACTACGAGGTCTGGGCAGCGCCGTTGGGAGTAGGAGGAGGCAAGGTTGACCTTGCACATCCAGCCCGGGATCCCCCTCCTACGAATGACGGTCAAACATGACTCTTGCGGCTTGCGGCAGCTGAAACTCTTTCCTGCTGCCCTAGCCGTTCCCCTCCTCGAGGTAGAAATGAAAACAAGAGAGACTCAATATGGGGGTTTTCGATATTTGGAAGGACCTGATTGGAAATCCTTATCTTAAGGGGGGGGTCTATATCGAGGGTCCCTTATGTTCGTAAACCCCCATGCACACCTAGACTAAGTTCAAGATGAACATCAGCACCAGCATCCTGGCCGAACGAGAAATCACATGCTGGGGATCCAGGCGCTGCCAGGGAGCCCCCAGTAGATATCATCGAGGCATCGGCACCTCGCCACATAATCTCCCCGGCCCGTTCCGCACCCTGTTTGGTCAATTTTGTCTTTTTGTTTGGCCACCCTAAACTCTAAACCCTAAACCCTGAACCCTGAACCCTAAACCCTGAACCGCCCGGACGTCAAACACACGACAGGGGCTTAGCTCCCAGCCGGTCCAGTCCAGTCTCTGGCGATTCCTGACCAGCTCTTGGACCTGGACCATGAGGTTAGGGTTTAGGGTTTAGGGGTTTAGGGTTTAGGGTTTAGGGTTTAGGGTTTAGGGTTTAGGGTTTAGGGTTTAGGGTTTAGGGTTTAGGGTTTAGGGTTTAGGGTTTAGGGTTTAGGGTTTATGGTTAGGGTTTAGGGTTTAGGGTTTAGGGTTTAGGGTTTAGGGTTTAGGGTTTAGGGTTTAGGGTTTAGGGTTTAGGGTTTAGGGTTTAGGGTTTAGGGTTTAGGGTTTAGGGTTTAGGGTTTAGGGTTTAGGGTTTAGGGTTTTGGGTTTAGGGTTTTGGGTTTTGGGTTGATCCCACTCTCCACTCTCTGCATTCTCTGAAAGCCAGGGTTCAGGCTTCCACAACCTTGGGAACATGCTTGGTGACCTGCGCAACAGGATGCTGGTGGCTGTAGACCAACTTCTGCTGCTACTACATCAGCCGTTTGGCTAGGTACAGATCAGGCAGGCAATATTCCTCTAGCAGCTCCTTCGAGGCACATTCGGGGTCACACGCCCCACTACCGGCCTCCTGTACTCGAATCTCTGGATGCTCAACAACCTCAGATCATACTGTGGTACAAGCATGTGGCGCCATGCGAGTTCAGAGAATGCAACGACAGTGGTAGAACCTATGCATGGCCATGGGTGACTAACGTGATTCTCACTTGGCCAACATCGTCAACACCCAAACACGCGCAGAGTCTGCACTAGTGCATGCGACAATCCGTTTGTCAGTCGAGCTGATGGCATGAGGCCGAGACCTTCTCCTGAACCTGAACCAGTCGGGTACAGCATCGCACTTAGGAGACTTAGGACTTCAATTGGATTGCAGAGGAACTGGACATCCGGCATCTAAAAAGGTCAGGGCCAGGCCTGCACGCACGGAATCTCGACAATTCTTTCCCGTGTCTCGATGACAGGCTTTGTCACCTGTCATCTTGATGGTGTACAACGTACTGCAGAGCGTCCCGGAAGTTCTCACTTCCGTACTGCACGGAACACGACATGACTCCGCAGGTGCGGCATTCGATGGCACGCAACTGAGAGGGCCACGTGTCGAATCACCTCCTGCACCTGTACTTTGGGAACCTTGGCAGCATGATGAAACCTCCCACTCCACAAGAAGCGATCCTGTCTGTGCAGCCACGACATAGTGCTCGCATCCACAAACATCCTGGGCACAGCACCTCCACTATTTTCTCCACAGTTCGAACGTGGGGCACCTGGCAACCATTGGCACTGGCCACCCATGTCATGGACACCGCCCGCGGCCGATGCATGCCTCGACGATTCGCTCCCGGACCTGCACGTCAACCTGCGCAAGAGCAATCACAAAAAGCAAAACAAATAGAGCAGCACAACATTGGACCATTCAGGGGCTCTGGGGTCTTCAGCTTTACGCAGCCAACTTCCCCATTTCTGTCTTTCTCGGATCCTGCCTTTGGAACATGTCGGACCACTTCCTGGACATGGAGCTTGGGCACGTGCTTGACGACCTCGTGGACCTGACAAAAACGGCTTAGATCGGAGGGACCAGCATGGATGATCTGAGCAGGTCTTTCACACTTATGTTCAACTCGTCCCTTCCCCGGCCTGTGTCTGTGGGACCTGGAAGACAGAGCACACTGGGGGATGTGCGAGGGCATCTAGGTGCTGCCACCACTTACCCATGCAGCATCATGCACTATCTGGGTTTGCTCGATAATGGGGGGGGGGGGGACGCGCGACAGGTGTTGGGAGCAGGGTACGTTTCGCGGGAATGTTTCGGGGCATATTTCGGGGGTATGTTTCGGGTATGTTTCGTGGATCATGAGGTACTTTACCTGCGAAACTGGGGGTATGTTTCGGGGTATGTTTCGGGGTATGTTTCGGGGTATGTCTCGGGGTATGTTTCGCGTGTGTGCAACCCGTGCGCCCTTCTTAAACCTGAGCCCCCCCAAAAAACACAAGCCCATCTACAGGACGAACAGACGAGCAGTGAGTGCCTCGATGATCTTCTCGACGACCTGCACTTGAGGAACTTCGATTACTTTCTCCTGCGCGGATGGAGGGTGATGAAGGATGTGTGTGGATGGGGCGCAAACATTTATTGCCGCTTGCATAGTTGGGCTAGGACGAGCATTCTGCTTCTAGCCGAAGGCACTGCTGCATTGGATACTGCACTGCTACCGCACATGGCAAACATGCGCATGCCAGGATCGATTCGTACGACCTGCTTCCCTGCAGACGCTGAGACTGCCCACCGCTGCCTGGATCTGCACGTCTATCTTCGGAACATGCTTCACAATCTCTTGCACGTGAACCTTTGGCACCTAAGATGAGCTTATCGACGGCCTGACTCCAAAAGACTGCACACTGATTGTGCAACACTACGCATGGTCTTCCCGAGACACCCCAACAGTCAAGGCACGTGTCGCTCCACGACCTGCACTACGGTCTGCGGCACCTCCACCACCTTGCACGATGGCATTAGGGTTGGGGCATAGGGAGTAGCATAGACATACTGGAGTTTGGGTTTAGGGGTAGGTCTGGGTTCCGTGTGCCAGTTGCGGCCGAACGAAGTGGGCCCCTGCCGACACGGTGCCGCAAAAATCCCAAACCCTCCCCCTACGTCCTCAAGAATTAGGTCTTCGGATTGCCGAGATCAATTTCGGCATATTTCGGCTGAGTGGGCAAAGGCTTGTATGCGGGGAAAACAGATACGCATGCTCGGCACGTCACCTGCTTATTGCTCTTCAACCAGCTTGCCTTAAGTGACTCATCCTGAAAATGGAAGCCTCAGTGTCCTCCTTGCATTTTGAAGATGATACCCAACTGCATCCGGACGGTGACTATATCCCCTTGGGAATTATGTTATATTTCTGTTTATATAAAGCCCAAGAGGACATTAAAAGTGGGTCTTGAGCCAGTAAGCCGACAACCAAGTTGAGCGCGCCTTCTCCACGTGCTGTATCTGCGGAACTTCGATAATTCGCTCCTCCACTCGAACGTCCTTAAGCTGCGCGGCTTTGGGGTGTAGAGTCTGAGGTTTAGGGTTTGGCATTCACCTGTGCCTGTGACAGCCATAACACCTGTGGCCCTGTTGCACGACACTGTAGCAAACTTGCTGGCGGAGTCTCGATCTTGGGAACGTGCTTCACCTCGTGGCAGAGTAGCGCAACAGTGCTTCGCGTGTCATTCTGGGCTTGACTTTTTAGTTAGGCTTCCTGGCTCGAACCACTTCCCTTTTGTGGGCTTTCGCTTTAAAGTCAAGGTCTGCGGTCATCCCAAAGCGAGGGGATAAAGCGCCAGGCTTGCAGTCGCCCGGCACACCTCTTCTACGTGCCCAAGTGCATCACAAGAAGCCTCCCTACAGGTCGATTGCACAACTCTAACCCCATAAAAGTCGATGCTGTGCTCCAACCCGGATGCAAACCTGATTCCCCGAACCTGCCCATACCCTATGGTAGGGCACAAACACTAATCTGAGACCGTCTGCCAAAAGTCGCTTTGCGCTGCAAACCGAGGGGCTATCTCTTGCACGTGGATCTTGGGAACATGTCTGTCCACTGTTTGAACCACCGTTTGTGGCACTTCCACGATCTTCTCCTCAGAATGCAAGGTGAAGTGCGCTTGCACTTAGCAGTTGCACAATTGCCACAGGAACGGCCTAAGCATGCGGAATCTAAGGCCATTGTAAGAATGCGCGGCATGGAAGACTTGATGCCACACAGTCGGAACGGTGAATTCACGAAACAAAGAAGAAAAGGCTTTCCAGCCGAGTTGCTACTTGATGGACTTGTGGGTGCTCGACGATGCGCTCTTCGAACTTCACCTCTGCAGCTGCCAGCGAATTCGATAACTTCGTGCACTCAAGCCAGCATCGCAACTGCTGCCATTCACTCCAACCATGAGCTTTCGCTCATGTAGTTGAGATGTATCCCTCTCGGCCTCTATCTTCGGGACATGCCTCACAATTTCTTGCACTTCAATCTTCGGAACGTGCCGCACTACCTGCAAGGCGCAGATGAGGTGCATTTGCCACATGCTTGGAGGCATGCGCATGCCCGAAGATGCCTGCTGCAGATCATATCTACAGTTTCTCAGTGCGGCCGGATATGCATCACAGAAACACAGAGAGAGAGAGAGAGAGAGAGAGTGGGATGGAGTGGCAGCTTGGCTTTCACAGAATTTCACCCCTCACCTACAGTACATAATTGGAATGGCCTCGAGATTGATGAACTAGTCGAGACGCTGCTTTGCGACAAGGCGGGCGTTGTGCTTCTCTGTACCCTTACCCCTTTGTATATAAAGCAGTTCTGCAGCAGCCACCCGCTTGCTTTACAGAATTCAGGCACGGCTTGGAAATGTTTGGGATGTAATGACCTTTGCAGTCCGAGCCTGCGGCCTGCACGATATCACATCAGAAGGTGATGGGCTGAGGACTTTGTCGGGAGGATCAGAATCTCGTTCGACCATTCAACCGTGCCACGACCCTAGTTCTTGCGGCTCCCCATAAGAAACAGCTCCCTGCGACAATCCGGCCACCAAGGCACGTGATCATAATAGTAATAGTAATAATAATAATAGTAATAAAAGTAATAATAGTAATAAAAGTAATAATAGTAATAATTGTAATAATAATAATCATAGTAGTAATAGTAATAATAGTAATAATAGTAATAATAGTAATAATAGTAATAATAATAATAATAGTAATAATAGAAATAATAGTAATAATAGTAATAATAGTAATAATAATAGTAATAATAGTAATAATAGAAATAATAATCAAAAATAGTAATATAATAATATTATTAATAATAATAATGACAATAATGATAATAATATTAATAATAATACTAGTAATAAAGTAATAATAGTATAATAGTAGTAATAGAATAATCGTATTAATAGTAATAAATAGTAAATAATAATAGTAATACAATAACAAATAAAATATATTATAAGTAATAATAATAGTAATAAATAGTAATAATATAATAGTAGTAATAGTAATAATAATAATAATAGTAATATCGTAAAATAGGAAATAGGACATAGTATATAGTAGTATAGTATAGTAATAATAGTAATAATAGTATAATAGTAATAATAGTAAATAATAGTAATTAATAATGTAATAATAGTAATAATAGTAATAATAGTAATAATAGTAATAATAATAGTAAGAATAGTTAATAAGTAATAAGTAGTAATAGTAATAATAATAATAATAGAAAATAGTAATAGTATAATAGTAATAATAGTTAATAATAGTAGTAATAGTATAATGTAGTAATAGTAAATAATGTAAGAATAATGGTAATAATAGTAATTTAATAGTAATAATCGTAATAATAGTAATACTAGTAAATAGTATAGTTATGATTAGTAATACATAGTAATAATATAATTATAATAGTTAATAAACAATTAATAAATAGTAATAATTAGTAATTAGTATAATAGTACTAATAATACTAGTATAATCGTAATAATAATAATAGTGATAACAATAGTAATAAGTATAATAATGGTAATAATTGTAATAATAATAATAATTGTAATAATAGCAATAATAATAAGAATAATAATAATGGTAATAATAAAAATAAAAGTAATAATGGTAAGAATAGCAAAAATCATAATAATGTAATCATAATTATGAAAGTAATAGCAATCATAGTAATAAAAGTAGTAATAATAATAATAATAATGATAGTCAAAATGGTAATAATAGTAATAATGATAGTGATCATAGTGATCATTGTGATAATAGTGATAATAATAATAGTAAATAATATCAATAGTAATTAATAAGTTGGCCTCCTGGATGCGCACTTCCGGCACTTCCACGATCTTCTCGACGTACTGAACTTGTGGGACCTCCACGATCTTCTCCACCTTGCGGCAGTGCTGTGTATAAAGATGCATACAGCTAAGAAGTGACCGCCCTTCACACACGTCTTTGACTTTCATCTGCAGTACTCGTGGAAGCTTACTGTATAACATCTGTACAACTCACAGTTCGAACCGCTGAGATGGCTGCTGTTCTGACTTCGATCTTCGGCACTGTGCGGACAATCTCCTTCATGGCTTGGCTGTTATGCTGTCCAGAAGCTGTCAGGAACCTACTGCCGAGTGCATTCAAAGATCTGTGGCCAGCACGTGCAGCTAACTGTGCAAGCCTCTCTGCCGAGTAAGCGACTAAGTGCACGCAGGCCTGTGTCTCGATCTTTGGCACATGCCTGCGACGCCAGATCGACACGAGGGGAATGGTGGTAAAGGTCTTGAATGAATGTGCCTTTCTTCTGAATTCATCTTAGTTCCGCGAACCACGAGACCCCCAGAACCACAAACAAACCTCAGACTTGTCTAGTGCGCAAAGCGCGCGCACCTCACCACTTCCTGGACTTGCACCTGCGGCACCTGGCGGGCCAATCATGAAGCCAACTCGCCTCAGCTATCCATCGTCTGCAGCCTTGCCTCAACAATCTTGTCGACGAACTGCACCTGCTTCAGGCTAGGCAAGGGGGACAGTAAGACCAAGAGCATGGCATGTGAAAGCCACATCACAAGCCACGGAACGGCAGAGGAAAGTCCTATCACCAGTGCATCTGGTCACTGCAGATGCAACTCACATCATGATTGACCAAACCTTGTCACCCAACAAGATGCTTTGAACAAGGCTTCAGCGCCAACCTCCTCTCGCAATCCAAAAGCCGCCATAACCAAGAAAGTGCCAGCAACCAACAAAACTCAAGGAAACACCCCGTGCCTGAGGTACTTCAACCAGCTTCTCGACGACTTGCGTGTGGATCCTAGCAGGGTGGTAGAAGGGGCATCGAGAACACCCAAATACTGTCCAATCGAACTTGTTTCTTGCACAGTCTTGTGACTCCAATTCTGAGACTTCCATTGTGGTATGAGGAATATACGAATGGCGTATGAGGATACGAATGGCTTGTGTGGCAATCGCTCTCCCTGCCCCTTGATACATGCTGTGTTTGTAAGTAGTGCACGTCATGTCGCATGAGGAAACCTCAAGGCATCATGGTAGCAACATAATGCGTGCCACAGTCGCTTCGGAACGTGATGAAGCCGCTCTTGAATCTGGACTTTGGGCACCTTTGCCACATCGCCATGACAAGACTGCAATATGCGAGATCGCAATTATAACCTGGCTTCACCTGCGAAGAATGCCCTCCACCCGCCGAAATCCGAAAGCCCTGCGTCCAAAAAAGGCCAGGGCTTGGGACTTATGGGGGAGGCCCATATGCCTCCACCAGCTTCTCAACAAGCTGGACCTGGGGCACCTTGCCGAAGGTAAACTTCAAACAAAAACAGATCCTTCAAGAGGTCCTCGTTATTTGAGGGTCTATTTTATAGGGGTCCTGCCTTAGGCTACGGGGTGTTGGGATAGGTGTGGCCGACGCAGTGTGTGGCGCGGCTCCTTCCGGCTAAGCCCGGCTAGATCGCGCTGCACGAAAACAGAGATGCCAGCTGCGAGGAACAAAACTCGAGAACCCTAAACCCCAACCTAAACCCTAAACCCTAGACCCTAAACCCTAAACCTAAACCCTCAACCCTAAACCAGAATGACTTCAGAAGTGATGCAGCGGCGCCGTGCCTCGACCACGCGGTCCACAGTCCTGAGCTCTCCGGCTCCCAGGGGGACTAGCATCTGAGAGAGAAAAAGAGAGCATAAGAATACCAATACAGTGATACAATAAGAAAATGCGAATACGAATATAGTGATGCAAATAAAAAATGATACAGTCGATAGTAATCACTATAGCCTAATATCTTAGTGTATACTAAGAAAGTAGTATCATAGTAGAACCATATACGCATACTGCAATGTAACAGTACTAGTATACCAAAAAACGAATATTCTAATGTAGGAAAATACTCATATACTAATATACCAACATACGAATATACGAATATACGAATATACACATATACTAATATACTAATATACTAAAATGCTAATATACTAATATAACACTATAATAGTATAACAACGTATCAATATCAAAATCTAATAATCCAATAACCTACTCATCTAATCATCTAATAATCTCATTTAATCATCTAATCATCGAACAATAATGTATAACATTATAAAAAAGTATAACCTAAAGATGAAATATCATAATGATATCATGATCACCATCGGGCTTTGAAATTTGGTAGTCTCAACTCATGCACTGCCCTGAAGCAGAGGTGGCTAGATAGCTCTCCCAATCATGGAGTTTGTTCGGGCCACGATGATATCATAAGAGCGTCGGGCCCCCAACTTCAGGACCCAAAACGGAACCAAAAAGCCGAGACTCTGAATTTCAACCTTCGGAACAGTGCGCACGACCTCCTGGACTTGAACCTTCGGCACCTCAAGTCAAGCTTAACGTTAAGATGGCTGACTTGACAACTGTGAGCTGAAAGTCCCGCGGTCACTAGCCCTCACTTTATCCAACAGAAGCTCACGTAGCTGACAGTGTCTGACAGGAAAAATTAAGAGTTCTCATGGTCATGCATGGTGTGTCATGCCCATAGCTGCACTCTACTAGCACCGAACTTAGCGCTGTGCTTCGACCAGTCGCTCCTGTGTCTAAGCTAGACCACCCTTTTTTTGACAGCACTTCACAGCAACTGCTGCAAGAGGCATCTCAGAAGTCTCTTACTTTCTCTCCCCTTTGCCGCGTCCTGCAAGTGCACCTGGGGAACCTCCACAATCCTGGGACCAGGATGCATGCCGCAGGCATCTCGCAGCTTTGCCGGGCGCGCTGCGAACTGTCCACAAACGGGGTAGGTCGACTGGTGTACATGTCGCTACGGAGGGTAGCAAAGTCTCTAGCCACAAGCACTGATTTGCTGTCCTCTCCCGGTACTCCATGTGAATCTTGGGCACTTCCCGAACAACCTGCAGCTTTCGCACGCGGCCGAGAACATTCAAGAGAATGATGAATCAGGGACTGCAACAGATTTTCACTTACCTGTGAGCTGGTGACCGACAGCGTACACTTGGGAATACCTTATACGGACCCCTTGTGAAGAAGCCCTGAAACAGTCATGTCATGTCATGTCCATCATGTCCAAAGCTCTCGTTTACTTCACTCCGTTTTGTCGTAGAAAGGCAAAACGCACCTCATGCACCTCCAACTTCGGCACGTGCCGGACTACTTCCTGCACCTGCACCTGGAAGGGACAAGAACACGCTGAGCACACACGAACTTCAACATGTGGGCACCCATGTGTCAGATGACATCCGGCTACGAGGCGAACTACTTGTCCGGAAACCGATCTTTCATTTCCAGCGTTCGGGCATCTACAAATGGCCTGCGGCACTTCTACAAACTTGTCCACCAGTGCAACCTTGCAGGTGGGCAGTGGTGTCGGCCCATGTCATTGCAGCTCATGCTCTCACCGCTAAAAGTGTTCATTCCCTTGTGGTCTGACTGTACAATGATTCTGCGATGAAGTGGTTAGCCTCCTGGCTGCAGGCCGTACACCGCAAAGCCTAAGCTTAAGCCTAAGCCTAAGCCCTCGCATCAAGCGGCGGATGCGTTTGGACATTCAACCGCAGGGAAGTCCAAGATCGCTCAATACTCCTGCAAGGGGCCTGCGGTACCTCCACCAGTTTCTCAACCGTTCGAACCTGTTCAAGTTTGCCATGAGGCGAAGCGTGATCCGAGCCGAGCGAGACGGCTGACTGGCACCACTAGCGGCCTCCACCTTTGGCACCTCGCGGATCACTTCCTGAACCTGCAATCGAAAGGCGCCAAGGAGGCACCAAGACCCGCAGCTACGAAAAAGGATTAGAGCATCTGTCCCGTCTCCGGATGCCCCCTCTGCTATCCCTGTTGGGAGCAGGCCTCCAGGCGAGGCACTGTTCGAACGACCTGAACAATGCAAGAAGTATCTGCTTAACTTGGATTTCCATTGCCAGATGCAAGGGGAACTCTGTTGGGACGCGTAGCACAGTTTGAAGCCAGGCCTCCTGAATCTGAACCTGAGGCACTTCGACCACCTTCTCCACAGTGCAAACCTTTGGCACCTGTACTTTGGCGATGGAACTCGAAAGAATGGCTTCTACCAAACTTGACGCGCAGGCTGCCACTAGACTTTGTCTTGTTAGCTCATGCAGCGACGCCTCGATGATCCTCTCCTGAACCTGCACCTGCAATTTGTGTATGCGTACAATAGGACATCATAAGCTCAGGGCAAAGACAGTGGAAACATTCGCCAACATGCACATGGTGCTGCAACCACTCACGATGAGAATAGTAAGCTCTTCTGCCTGAACTTTCGGCACAGTCTTGACCTTGGCTGCTGGCCGCTTCAGTCAGGCAGAGAACTCTGCTGAAGCTAGACAGCTATCGTCCTTGAAAAGAGAGCTAACTTGCTTTGTTCACACAGCTCTAGTCAAGTAAGAAGGCCCTTCGTGTGCAGTCTCTCAGGCTGCTGAGGTCATTGCAACTTCTTGAACCTCTATCTTGGGGATCGTTCTTACCTCGGAAGCAACCCACGTGGGGACGTCTGCGGCAGCAGATGAGCTGAGCCAAGGCAAGGACAACCTCTTGAGTGTGCACTTCCGGCACCTCCACGATCCTCTCCACATAGCGGACCTAGTCAAAAAAAAAAACAGCTTCTGTCCCCTGAGAGGGGCTGTCTACCTGAGAGAATTCGTTTCCTCGAACATGGCGCAGCTAGGCAGACAGAGGTGGGGTGAACTTCGGACGATTCCGGCCTCCGGCACTTCAACTATCCGCTCGGAAACCTGGGTCACCAATCAGTGCAACAGGGGGTTTCCGAACTTAGGGGTACCTTCTTGGGGTCCTTCTCATAAAGGGAATCCGACTATTTGGGGTCTATTTTTGGAGTCCCCATTTTTCATAATCTCCCAGCAGGTCTGGTGCTTTAGGGTGCGGGATTTTAGGGGGCTTTGGGCTTGGAGTAGTTTTCTCCGCATGGTCGAGTTTTCAGCGTGCAAGCTGCCCCGCGCGCCTGGTACTCTATCTTTGGCACCTCTTTGATGATTTCATGCACCTGCGCAGCATGCCCGAAAACTCGTTGAAACCCTCCCCTCGAAAACACCCTCACACGGAGCCTCGACCTTCGGCACAGCCCGAACAACCTCCTGCGTGCAGACGGTCGGTACCTGGGAAGACACTTGTAGAGAAGCAGACTCCTTCATATCGCTATGAAGATAGCTCTGCAATCATTTCAAATATTCTTGTTCTGCAAGGCGCCTCAACGAGGCGCTCCTTGACAATGGCCTGCGGCACCTCTATGAGGATGTCATTCTGCACCTGACATCTGAGAAGTGCAATCCGCTGCCCAAATCCGCCCAGGCCTCGGGCCGCAGGTGTATGGGGAGCGTTCGGATTGCAACCCTTCATGTGGTACATCTTGGCCTGGAATGAGTACCCCCCCTAGCTGGCAGGTGTCCGGGAGCGGACGATCAAGACCAGGGGGCATTTAAGCCCCGCCATAGGGGGCGGACACCAATTTCCGCCACCCTGCACCTCCCCCCAAACCCCCCCCCCAACCTGCCCCTGAGCCACCAGTGCCTTTTCTAACAGCACCTTCCCCCCTTCACACCTGCTTCGCAGGCCCAAGCCGAGGCGGGTCGCGTTAGCTTTCATCGCGCTCTCCGGAACCGTCCGCCTGCAGGTTGTCCCCTGCCCGAGACCTCAGCTCTGTCGTCGCTTCAGCTCACATCTGCATGACTGCAAGATCTGCAGGTGCAGTAACATCTGAGCAAGCTGACCCCATGGTCGAAACTGGGGTCTGCAGTTGCGTCATCGGACCTGGCGACAGCCCCTGGTGGCTTTCATTTCATTCGTCTGATAATCGCTGCAGTCGTCGCCAACTCCAAGAACATTAGTCGCACGTGCAGGCTGTGATTGCGCTCGCCTGGGGACGAGAATAAGGGGCAAGGACCCGAAATCGTCGACCCCGCCAGAGCATCCTCGATGCGAGGCATGCTGTCTTTGTACTTCTCCACACTGGCATCTTATCCTCAAGCTCCGCCTGTGCTGAAGCGTTCCAGCTTTGCAGAATGTCGCTTGGGTACCTGCGATCTCCAACCCTGGTCTGCTACTTAAGCTGCATTGCGTGAAAGAATGGGAGCTCACGACACTCGTGCGCCTTCTGATTTCTGAATGAATATGACTCACTTGGAGCATAAGCAGGCTTTCACAAGCAGCTCAGAAGCGAAAAAAATGTGCGGCACGCCCCCGGGTAGCCGGCGCCGTAGCTGCTCCCTGTGTTTGCTCTGGAGGTTTAGGACATGGAAACCCGCCGCGCGTGTCGCAGGCTGTAACGGGGCTTGCCCTGTGAGCCGAGCCTGCTGGGCTATGGCCATACAGAGGCAGCACGGGCTCCTCAGGCGGCCTGACAGCCGGCACTTGAAGCAAGACATTGTTCTCGTGTGATGTTGGGCCACGCTGGCTGGACAAGGGTTTGTTACACAGCACTTCAACTGGAATGCCGCAACCCCAGAACCCTTACTGGTACCAACAATACAAACAAAAGGCCAATGATTAGCCAATGCGAGTCACTGACGCTCTGCAGAAACAGCGTGAGTGTCTGTCTGGAACAGGAGCTTGCCCATTCTGCCGTCAGTTAGGAGCATCTACCCATCGGAGCCTTCCCATCGAAGGATCCAGGACAGCTGTTGCAGGCAGCGATGCCTCACTGCGGCAAGAAGATGGATTCAGGATGTGGACAACTTCGATGTTCGGGCACCTTAGAAGATCTACGCCCACGAAGATACGCTGCTTCTCCTCGGGGTGTCTCATGCCTCAGAAGGCCCCTTTTCATTCAAGGCGACGCGCTTGAACTTCCGACCCCTTGCTCGTCTTTCCTGCCAGCGTATCTCCGTTTCCTGGCCCCAGCACTAGGGAAGAACAGATAGCCTCAAAGGCCTGCTGATGCGCGACCGCATGTTCTACACATGCCAGATTCAGAAGACTTTCAGGGATGGCATGGAGATGCATGGAGGTAAACCATGGGGCAAATAGCGGAAGGCCATGACACTCGGACTTAGTCCAGGCATGGCCACTGGCAGGTGCGACCCTAGCTCGATCGGAAGCAGCTTCTGCTCAGCACTGGCCAACGCCCTGTGCTCTTAGCGTTTGAGGGCTTAGGGGTTTTTTCAGGGTTTGGGATTCAGGGCTTCTTCAGGGTTCTGCTGCAGACGAGCTCATAGCACAAGCAGGGTCACTGCAACCACACAAAGCCACGGTCGGCGAGGGCGACCTGCCTAAAGTACAAAGAGTAGTTGACAGGGTGAGGGATCCTGGAAAAGGTTTTCTTTCTCAGGGTCCACGACCTAGGTTCCAACACGTCTATCGTGCGAATCCTGAATTTCACCACCACGAGAACTGATCCGCGCGGATCAGCTGGCAGCCTCCACAAAAAGATCAAACAAAGAAAACGAGCAGACGTCGAGTTTGGGGGGCATGACAAACCCAAGGCAACAGCTGCGCTCACAGGCCTGCTTTGCGCGCTCATTCATGCATAGGAGCGCCCGGAAGCACCGCAGTCCTGAGATGAACTGCTGGGGGTAAAACAAGCACGTCACGTGCTGAAGGCGTAGACGGTGTGACGGTGTAGACACCATCACAAATGCCCGGTGTGAGATGTACTTCGTGTCTTCGCCAGGGGTCTCGAGGGCCGGCACGGTCTTCCCGAATGTCACTCGCTTGGGCTTCGGGGAAGTCGGAGGCGACTCTGGGGTAGTCTCTGGAACAGGCTGCCTCAGGAGGTTGCATACAAGAGAAGAAGCTATCATCAGAGCCATGAGCTTGAAGACCCAAATTTGTCGAAGGTTTCCACGCCATGCGCATCAACGCACATGAGCACCACATCTCTTGCACAATGTCACCGCGAGGCGCTGATATGAGTTCTCGCAGGAAGCTTCGCGCATGTGCTCGTCCCATGAACAAAATGAAAGGTGTTTTAAGGGCTCTACCGGCTTCTGTACACGCTTCCTTCTTTAGACCAACCTTTCACCTAAGATATGACCTTGAAGGAATGAGTGATCGAAGTGAGTGGCACATGAACAGAATTAAACTCACGCTCACTGCTCGTTCAGCCCAGCCAGGTAATCTTGCTTCACAAGTGAGCTTGTGGTTCGTGATGTGGATATCTTTCCCTAGTCCATCGCAATGAAGTAGTATGTGAGAGCAAAAACACCGAGCGAACTACTGCTTTGTAAACTGCATCTTTTGCTTGGTGCCAGCTGGTGCAAAGCGGCATTGGTGCGCCAGGGGAAGAGCATGTATCATGACAGAGAACGCTTTTGGCGTTGTCCAAGGGCTTGTAGAAGTGGCAGCCGAGGTGCCAAGACTTGCCTTTGTGTAGCATTCCTCATATGGGAAACAGTCATTCAGATGCAAGAGCAGCTCTTCCCAGATCAGCACAATCACGGCGGGGAGGCAGTGTCCAAGTGGGTCTCTGGATTTGAGGGCCAACCGTTGTCTGAAGAACCCCTCTTCTCAAAAAGGCTGCAAACATCTGCAAAGTCTTTGGACGGCCACAGCAAGGTCGTCCCGATACTTCGCAGCCAAATCAAGTAGAAACCTGCTTGAATAGTTCCTACCCCGTGTCCTGCAGGGATCGGGCCTGATTCCCCGGACTCACGCCGGCTTGGCCGCAGGGTTCTGCCTCGGATTTCTTGGACTTAAAAGAGCAGGGACAAAGCCATATACAAGTTAAGAAACTGTACATAGTACGCGCTCGTACTATTGTTTCCACCCGTTTCCTTGGCAATAGCAAAGTGCTCCAACAGAGTTCTTTCGGAACTGTGATCAAGGATCTCACATGGATCTTCAAAAAGGTGTGCGACCAATGTTCCTAAGAGCGAGGAAGCAGAGAAACATTCACAGCCTCCCTCGAAAAAGGGCATGGTGGGTACCCAATTTCAGAGCCGGCTTGGGCACACGGCTTCACATGTCGGACAAACCTAAGACCCTGAGTTGTCACTACGTATACTGGTGTGCTTCTTTGTAACGTGCTGCAAGTATACTTATGTATGGAAACACGGTCGTGAAGTCTGTTGCGTGTACAAAGTGGACCCGACTGCTCCTCCGGTGTCTGTTCTTTGTATCCGCTCGTAGAGCCATCATATTGCTATTCTGCCTTTTCTGGGCCACCACATTTCCAAAGCTGCCCGGTCTCAATCTCTCAATTTGCGGCCAATTGGCGCGTCTTCATCCTCCCGAAGCGTTGCTTCCTGCTGCGCTTCCTGCCGGGCTGAGGTGGCAGAATGCACTTCGCTGATGACCCGAGGACCCGAAGAGCTGGCACCATTGGGCGACAGCTGCCCTCAGCGCTTTCAGAGCTTCATTGCAGACATGGCGCAGTCGAGTCCACAAGTCGCTTAGGTCACTGTAGTACAAGCCGACCTCTTGGGAGTTTGCCAAAGGAGACAAGGACGGGCAAAATGGAGGTCAGTCAGAATCTGAAGGGACCCCCTCTTAGCTGCCCGGCTGTCGCAATGATGCTGGCTGAGTTCACCAGAATCTGGAACAGGACTTGGTCGTGAAATAAGCTGTAGTCCAACCTTGCGCTGAACCGAATACATTGCACAAGGAAAGCTCGCACCAAACACTATTGCAAGCGTGACTGCAACTCGGACAACATCTCAACTTTCGAGGCGCGCGGCAAAAAGATGGAGGACGATTTCAATCTCAGGGACCCAGACGAGTGCACAGACCAACCGCAAAGCGCGCGACCAGGGAGGTTTGTGATCGGTTTTCTCTCCGTGTAGCGTGTTGTCATGCGTTTTTGTGTCCAAAATGTCAAGTGCTTTTCAGAAACGTTTCAGAAACGCAGAGCTGCTTTCTTGCTAGAACTGAGTTCGCGATGTCACGCACAAGTTGCTGCCTGGAGCTCTCTGTGTGGCTGGAGCTGGATCCTCTGTGCATGACTTCAGAAATGCTTCGACAGGGTTAGAGACACCAGCACGAGAGACGTTCTTTGTCAAACTGGTCAGACCGAACTTGCCAGCGCTCCAAGCCCCGCGGATCAAGAAAACTTAGCACCATGCGAGATCCGTGACATCCCCACTAAGCCATCCCAAGCAACTGGAGGGTCTTCTTGCGAGCATACGATGACATGTATCAAGGCGGGAGCTGCTCTACATTCTTCTCTCTTGCCCGTTAGGGGGAGGGCGGGCCCTTCAACATTCCATCGTGAAGGATGTTTTTAAGGGCCATGGTGTAAGGAACCCTCGAGGGCTTTGGCGGGTCGGCCCACGGCGCATGAAAGCTCTGAGCCACAGAAGAAGCAAAGAAGTGCTTCGGGGTTCTTAGGTTTGGGGTCGCATTTTCATCAGGGGCTGAAACTGAGATGGTTCTTGGCCGAGCACTTCATTCTTCACCTCCGAGTGCAACACTCCCACTGCGCACATGCACTTCGATTTGTTCTTGCTTTTCGCCTTTGCCGCGAAGTTCCCCTTCTCCCTATAGAGGTTTGATTCATTTTGCCTACGCTGCTTGCACAATCCTTCTGCAACGCTTTGCCAAGCCGGCACAACTGAATCAGGCAAAATCATCTGCTGGAAGAGCTGAGTCGCAAAAACAGCCACAGGAAGGTGATGCCAGTGAGAATCGCCGTGGCCAGTAGCATGACCTCGCTGTTGAAGCTCCCATGGTCTCTCAACATCACGCAAAAGAGCTTTCCTGTCCGAGATGCCCAAAGGTTCGTGGGCAAAGGTATCCTGCCGGCACATGTTGCCCAGCGCTTGGCCATAAGTCAACATTGGATGGAAACATGCTACATGGCTTCTGAGAGCTGGTGCCAGAGCCTGATTCGCAAGAGGTAGTCGGCGAGAAGTGTCATGTCAAGTGCAAGCCGGACAAGGCTGGGAAAGAAGCCGAGGATGACCTGGGAAGCATCAGAAGCCCGCTGCAACGCTGAGTTGCACGGAAGGCTCTAAACCGTTAAGGGCCTCAGACTGGTGGACTTTCGAAGGCTGCACAGCTGGCTGATGTTCTAATGGCTTCCCGGTGGTGCACTCCGGGTGTTGCAAGTTGTGAGACAGGGCACGGCCGCGTAATGTGCAATTAGGCGCCACTGCTCCCGCGGCTGCAGTGTGGTCAACAAGTGAAGCCCTCAGTTCGAGAGCAAACGCCAACGCGTCCATTAGGACAAGGGTCTGTCAAGAGAATATCACGAAGAACGTGCTAGCCCCAGCAAAATGCTGTGAACATCAGTCGCCCAGGTGTCTGAACCTGCTGGCCAGCTGCTGTCACAGACGTAGAAGAATGCGGGCAGTGTCGTGGCCACAGCAACATCGTAACCTGTGGACGAATGTTTCCACTTGGAGCTTGCTGTCAATCGCATGATCATCCGAAGCTTCGACAGACAGAATGAGTCCGGGCAATATACAGTCTTTGAAAACAAGTACACATGCAGCCACAGCACCGGAAAGGGCGGGTGGGGGAGAAGGCGAGATGTTTATTCACAAAGCAACGTCGCAGGACTCACTCACCCTTGCCAAGCAAATCTCAAGTTTCGTAGTTGACAGCTCACCTACTTTGTCTAAACTTAAGCCTTACTTCCTGCACAAAAAAGGGCTATGGCCCCCAAATCCCAGACAAGCGACTCACACGAGTGCCACCGACCTTCTTCAAGATGTAGCGGCCTCTGGGCGTATGGAACTTTCCAGCACAACATTTCGGTAGTTCAGGGATACCTGTAAACAACCCTGACACTTAGCATTGTTTCACATTCTTGTTTTGTGTTTCGTACGACGTGGATTTCCGGCCTGGCACGCATCAAAGACTGAAGGACACAGCAACTCAGCTCCCAGCCAAACACTCCTTGCACATATCCTTGGGCGAACCGATCATGAACTTGACAGCCAAAACACTTTCCCACAGCTCTCGCAGTCAGTTTCTGTTGATGACGCTCATAGCCAAATGCACGGGAGAGATGCAACCTATCCCTTTTGCACAAAGCCTGCCTGGGTTGGGGCTGCTTGTTGGCATGAGGAGCGAATCAGAGAAAATTATTTACTTCGAACATCCCCACCCTCTCTGGGTAGCGATACTCTGGGGCTAGGCACTCCAGCGACACTCTGGGGCTGGGCACTCCAGGGACACTCTGGGCTTGGGAATTCGGGGACTCTGTGAGGTTGAGCACTCACTCCAGGGGCACTCTGCGGCTGGTTTTATTTTAGGGGGATACTCTGGGGTTGGGCACTTTGGGGATGAGCGAGGAGTAGACCGGGCGAGGAGAAGAGTACCGACATTGGGGGAAAACTAAGCGAGCCAGAAAACCAAAGCGGTGAAATTTTCACAGGCAAAGGTTGGGACTAGATCGGTTTCGGGGCCGGAGATTTAAACTTTTCAGCTTGGCATCTAGAAAGGCTTCGGGCGGGGCCAACCCAAAGACAAAACCCTAAAATGTCTAAGGCCCTAAAACCCTAAACCCTGAAACGCCCTTAATTCGAAAACCCAAACACCCAGAACAGCCCTCAAACCCTTCAAACCCCAAAGCCTAAAACCCTAAAGCGTCAAACCCCTGAACCCTAAAACCCTATATCCTAAAAACCCTAAACCCGAAAACCCTAAAACCTAACAACCCAACCCTGAAACCCCAAACCCCCAACATCCACAAAAACTCAAACCCTGAAGCCCTAAAAACCCCGGTATCCTCAAAACACAAAACACAAAACACCGCAAACCCAAACTCCCAAAATCCTAAAAACCCAAAAGACCCGAACACCCTAAACCCTGAAAAAAAAAAACTAAATCCTGAGAACCCTAAGCCAAAAGAACCTAAACCAGAAAAAACCTAAACCCGAGAAACCCTAAACCCGGAAAACCCTACACCCGAAAAACCCTCAACCGTAAAACCCAAACACCCTGAAGACCCGGATCCTGAAAACCCCAGACTCCAACCTGAAAACCCAAACCCTAGAAACCCTAAACCCAAAACCACAACAACCCTAGACCCTTAAAAAGCCTAAACCCTTAAAACCCTACACCCTAAGAACTCTAAAAACCCTATAAAACCCCTAAACACTAAAAAACTCCAAACCCCCAAGCCCTAAAACCCTCAGCCCTCAATGGCCCCAACCCTAAAAACCCAAACCCCTCAAAATCATAAACCCGAAAAACCTGAACCCTAAAACCCAAACACCCTGAACACCCAAAACCCTCAACCCCAAACTCTAAAGACCCTAAACCCTAAACCACGGGAAAAACTAAATCCTAGAAAACTCTAAGCCCTCGAAACCCTAAACCCTAAAAACCCTAAACCCTAAGAACCCTAATAAGTGTCCCCACATGGGTTGACGCATATGTGCCACTCCTATGCAAACGCCACTCCCTGCGCATCATGAGCGCACGGATTTTTGGCAGCAGGAAGAGGCGCACGGGTCTCTTCGGAATCTGAAACAAGCTGCTTGCCTGGTTCAAACCCCCCCAACACGAGCAGGCGCAGCCCACTCAAACGGAGGGCGGACATGGCCAACACGACGCTTCCCCTGCGAGCAAACTCCCAGCTGCGCTCAGCTGGTCTCTTCCAAGTCTCAACTGGCCAGACCTCTGGACGTGTGCAAAGCGAAGACAAGCAACCAACAGCAAGAGGAGCCACGCTACAGCAGACGCCATCGTCCCCCGCAACTTGCAGGATGGCCAAGAGAACTCCCACCTGCGTAGGCGGTTTCGATGAGGAGCAATGCCCCTGCTCAGCCACCGCCCACGCAAAATCCGGCACCGGCAACGGGACCCCGAATGCCCTTGAAGAAACTGTAAAAGCTCTTTGCGGCTGTCGGTCCAGCTTGACTCAATCTCAAGAGAAAGTTAGACAAGACTAGAGCGGGCGGCCAGCACAGCATGTCCGCAGGACAGCACTCTGCGCGGCACGTAATCCAGCACTTGAAAGGTCGCCTACGCGCCTTCAGGGCCAGACTGCTTCCCGTCACAGCCACAGCCGCAGACTTAGATGTTGCTGCTGCACTTGCCATCCACTCCTGCTACTGGCGGCAGCGGCGGTCCCTTAGGAGGGAAGGGCACGGAGACTGCGACTGCGAGCACCTTTGCCCGCGGCCGCGGCACAGGCAGGCTTGTAGGCGGCCCTGCATGGCTTGACGCGGGGCGGCCTTCAAGCGGCATTCGCACCAAGTCTACCCCGAACAGCAGGCGGTGACGGCCAGATGCCAAAACCACTTCGAGCATCATGTCCAGGTTTGGCTTCCTCTCATCAACTGGGTCTATTTTCCCATAGCGCCCAGACTGCACAAAACGCACTTGGAAAGGACCAGGTAGCAGCGAAGCAGGAGGAACAGCCCGTTTCTTCGGTCGAGCCCCCACTGCGCCCATAGGAGACTGGATGGCAGCGTCCACAACACACGAATGCACGATCCGCTGAAGTTTCAACACCCAGTCTGACAACTGCTGCAGCAGATGCATTTGCGAGATGCGAATCGACGATCTGCCCGATCCATGGCATAGCCCCGACCGGAAAGAAAAACAATGGATTCGAGCGTTTATAAGTGTGATTTGCCCCTACCCAACCTGCCATGCAGTAACCATAGGAGCAACCCCAACAGGCCTGACACTAAACCCTAAAAGCCCTAAACCCAAAACCCGACATCCTAAAAGCCAAAACCCCAAAAAACCAAAACCCCAACAACCCGAAAACCTGAAAACCCTAAACCCTAAAAACCCAAAGACCCTAAATCCAAAAAGTCTATAAACCCTAAAAACCCTAAACCCCAAAACGCCCCAAACCCAAAAAACCCTACACCCTGAAGACCCCTAACCCTACAAACCTCTAACCCTGAAAGCCCTAAAACCTAAACCCCTAAACCATAATAAAACAAAAGAAAAACAGGACCTGAAACCTCCCAAATCGTAAAAGCCTAAACCCAAAACTCCAAAAAGGCCCTAAACACCAAAAACCCCAAACACCAAAAACCGGAAACCCAAGAACCCTAAAACCCTGAGACCCTAAAAACCCTAAACCCTCAAAACCCCGAACCCTCAAAACCCAAAACCTCAAAAACCCAAACCCCTAAACACCATAAACCCTAAAACCTTAAACCCTAAAAACCCAAACACCGTGAACACCCTAAACCCCTAACCCAAAACCAAACAAAAACTAAACCTTAAAAAAACACTAAACCCTCGAAACCCTGAATCTTAAAACCCCTAATCTAAATCCCTAGAAACCCTAAACCCTCAAAACCCTAAACCCTAAAAACTTAAACCCTAAAAAGCCTAAACCCCAAACACCCCAGACACCAAAAACCCAAAACCTCAAAACCCACAACCCAAAAAATGACAAAACTCTGAAGACCCTAAACCCTAATACCCTTAAATCCTAAAACCTCAAAAATGTTGAACCCTAAGAACCCTAAACCCTAGAAACCCGCAATCCTGAAAACCCTGAGTCCGAAAAGCCCTAAAAACCAAAACCCCCTAAACCATTAAAAAAAAAACGAGAAAAAAACACAACCTGCAAACCCCCAAACCCTCAAACCTAAACCCAAAACTCCGAAACCCCTAAACGCAAAATACCCTAAACCCTAAAACCTTAAACCCTAAACACCCCGGAACCTAAAAACCCTCAACCACCCTAGTACCCTAAAAACCAAAAAACCTAAAACAAAGAACCCTAAACCTGAAAACCCTAAAGACCCTAAAAACCCTTAAAGCCTTAAAATCCATAAAAACTCCAAAAACCTTAAAAACTTCGATAACCTTGAAAACCTAAAAACCTGACAACCCTAAACTAAATCCTACAAACTCTAAACCAGCGTTCTGTCATATTCGACCTGGTTTTCCTGGCTCGTCTCGAACCTCCCAGAATTATCACTCGGGCGCGCGTTTTCTTTCCGACTCGCGCGCGGGACTCGGATCGTTTGTTTTTGGTATGGCCCGCACTCGTGAATAGGGAACCAAGCCCCTTTCGCCAACAGATTGTCTCATTTGGAGAGTGGGTTACAGTGGCACCAGAAAGGTTGAAGCCTACACCCTAAACCCTACACCCTCCTAAACCCTAAACCCTACACCCTACACCCTAAACCCTGAACCCTAAACCCTAACCCCTAAACCCTAAACCCTAAAGCCTAAACCCTAAACCCTAAACCCTAAAGCCTAAACCCTAAACCCTAAACCCTAAACCCTAAACCCGAAACCCCAAACCCTAAACCCTAAACCCTAAACCCTAAACTAAAGCGAGCTGCGGGTGCTGCGATAAGAGCAGCGAGCGATACCGCGCGGCGACAGCCCGCGGACGAGCCCGAGCCGTCAAGCGAAGCCTGGCGAGGGCTCGGGGCCAGCGCGCGCGATGAGCGCGGCCCACGCATAGAAGGGTCGAACCCGCGTGCCAGCGTCAGTCTGGCCCCAAAGAGAATAACCCCAAACCCTCGGTTTTAAAGTTAGAACCATGCATCCTTTAGGATTTAAGATTTAGGATTTAGGATTTAGGATTTAGGATTTAGGATTTAGGATTTAGGATTTAGGATTTAGGATTTAGGATTTAGGATTTAGGATTTAGGATTTAGGGTTCAGGGGCTCTCCCAGGACCATTTTTGAGTCTTTGGGCTCCTCCCGGCTCTTCCCGGACCATTTCTGAACCTTTTTGGGCTGCTGCCGGACCATTCCTGAGCCTTTTTTTGAGTTCCTCCCAGACCATTTCTGAGCCTTTTTGGGTCCCGGATCCCGGACCATTTCTGGACCTTTTTGGGCTGCTCCCGGACCATTTCTCAGCCTTTTTGATTTTTGCCGCACCACTACTGATCCTTTTTGGCTTGTTTCGGACCATTTCTGAGCCGTTTCTGAGCCATTTGGGCTCCTCCCATACCATTTCTGAGACTTCTCCCGGACCATTTCTGACCTTTTGGGTTTTTCCCGGACCATTTCTGAGCCTGGGCTCGTCTTTTTGGGCTTCTCCCGGACCATTTCTGAACCCTTTTTGTGCCTCTTATAGAGGGTTCGGCCAGCCCCCAATGGTTTCGTTGGGAGGGCGCTCCCAGGACCAAAAACCAAAGGGAGCCCAAGATATAAACCTGTGGATCTTGTAAGCCCACGATAGACATCATAATTTGGAAACGCATTGCAAAAAACCCTAAACCCGCCAAGGTTGAGACTTGGGTGGGTGGATTGGGCAAGAGCACTGAACGTCAGCACACGCCACAACACACGCCTTGCGTGGTGGCGTGTGCGGAACATAGAGCAAACCCTAAACCCTAAACCCTAAACCCTAAACCCCAAACCCCAAACCTCAAACCCTAAACCCTAAACCCGAACCCCCAAACCCTAAACCCTAAACCCTAAACCCTAAACCCTAAACCCTAAACCCTAAACGGGCGATTCGGCATGGTGCTCTTTGATGGCACAGTGTGGCGGACGAGAATCGGTCGAAGAGCTCCTCTGCTGACTCGCCGGTGGTCCCTCGCGTCCCGGATCTTGACAAAGCCAGGCAAAGCCTCCCAAAACAGCTCTTTGCAAATGAAGCTTTGTAGCGACTCTGCCCCAACACCCTGTATGACATCAGCATATCAGGTTGCACACTCTAGTGACCGTCCGAGGAACTCCTTGGCCATGCGATGCCGAATGACACCAGAAGATTGTGGCCCGAACCATTCCTCAAGCTTGTCACCTGCACAGAAAACCCACCAGCCGGGAGAATAAGTTCACTTGCAGAGCGGATTCAGCAGACAACTGACAGCCGCAACTTGACAGTTGTAGCTCAGAGCTAGCCGGTAGCCCTCGATGAAAGTCAAGCCTAATCTTGACAAAGGGATGCTGCTGGCAGGCGGCCAATGATGTGACGGTCGCACGGGATGCGAGTGTTTGTGTCAGGGATGAGATGGCCCACCCGGCAGCAATAGCACTCTGCGCTCCTGGGGGGGGGGGGGGAAGCATATGACAGAATGCAATACAAGCTTTGCTGTTACCTGTGTATGTACATGTAGTATGTTGCATCTTACTATAGTAGTGCAGATACCCCCAGCTTAGAATCGATATGATGTGTTATGGACTTCATGTCATGTATGCGATGTATGCATAATGTTGGATAACGTAATGCAAGATGTTTCTCAGAATATGCCGTATACTCGATAACTCTATATATATATACATATATATATATATATAAACATATATATATACATATTAAACAATGAAGAGTATATTGCATTATCTGAACACCTAAGTACATCATAATGTCTTGTAGCGCACCAGATACATAATAGCAAGCATAGAAAACAACATATGTATGTATCTATAGAGAGAGAGTCTAGTAAAACAGTGTTAGAATATGTCAAAACCAAAACGTTCTGTAATACGTTATAAAAAACATAGAATACAGAAAAAAATAGGTATGAATAATATTTCACAATATGCATTTTATATATATATATATATATAATAATAATAATAATAATAATAATAATAATAATAATAATAATAATAATAATAATAATAATAATAATAACAATAACAATCATAATAATAACATACATTGATGATGTGGCACAAACATATACGTGTTGAAATAGAAAACACTATGCACATATACTATACATATTTTATATAAATATATACAAAAATAGAGTATGGGTGGACTTTTTTGGGGGGGGTCTTGTTTTGGTTGCGTCGTTATTTCATTTTCTTGGTTTTATTAGGAAACCCCCATTGCCCCTTATTTCACAGGATTCATACTACTTTTCGCTGAACCTCACAAATTCTGCTCGAATCCTCATGAATTTTGTCTCTGTTCCCTTGGCCTCCTTAAGAAAAAATTTTCATATGGTCCATACGGCTTTTCATATGATTTCTTACTCATTTTCGTAAGACGCCGATTCATCGAATCCTTGTAAATTTGGGTCCGTTGCCTTGGTTTTTCCAGACAAAAACTTCTTCTCCCTGTATATGTTTAATCGGATCTTCTATATTTCATAGTACTGATTTTACTTGTCAGATGATTCCTCATACCTTTTGAATAAGACCTTTGAAGCAGGCATTGCACGGCTTGCATGACGGGTTTCAAAAGACTCATATGCTTGCTTTCTTTCTTCTCTCTCTCGCTCTCTCTGTGTAGTGTTTCTTCTTCTTTCTTTCTATATTTCCAACTGTCTATCTATCTGTCACTTGTTTCTTCTCTCTTTCTCTGCTCTTTCTTTCTGTATTTCCTTATTTATTTTTTCCGTTCTTTATTTCTTTCTGTCTTTCTTTCTTTATTCTTTATTTCTTCTGTCTTGCTTACTTTCTTTCTTTACTTCTCTCTTCTTCTCCTGGGCAGCACCTGCAGAAAGGCAGGATTTCCTCTCAAAGTACAGATGGAATAGAGGTTTTCCTAGGAAAAAACAAGAATATTGACCAAAAGTAGAGGGGGCAAACAAGAGACCCAAAAAACTTGGCCCTCCATCAAGTTCTGCTTGTAGGGCACTGCCACGCACTGTCCAGGGGCCCGGTCATAGGATTTTTGTTTCGCTTTCGCTTGCTGCAGCTGGGCTTCATGAAGCTGAAGCCTTCAATCTGTGCTTTCATGACGCGAAGGTCGCACACCTGCCGCTTGAGATCGCTTGAAAACTTGCTTGGTTGCGTTACCGTACTGGATGATGAACTTAAGAGAGCCCTTGAAGGGAGCTGGGAAAGTTCTTGCTGTGCCGATACCTAGACCCCTGCTTGGGGCTGTGTCGCGAATGCCGGGCAAACTGCGGCCTGGGATGCCTAGAAGCCGCAAAGAGAGCCCTTTCGCAGTTCAAGTTCAGCATTGAATTCTGCATGTTCTGCGGCTCAAGTCACCAAATTGCGCACGGCGTAGAGGGGTGCAATCATGATCGTGGCCGTCACCTGCACAAAGCACGAGCAGATCACTGTGCAGCTGACTGTCTAGGCTTGAAACATGCAACCCGTCAGTCACACACACACACACAAGATTGCATGCCCAGGTCACCAATCCCAGGATCACGGAGTACAGCTCCCAGCTTTCTAGCTGCGCAAGGGCAGTGAGCAAGACCTCCAGACAAAAACCGGCTGGTTGTTTGATCATCTTTGTGCTCACGTTGATCTTACTGCCTTACTCTTGGAAGTGGCCTCCTCACACGTGAGATTTCAGGACTAAGGCTGCAGTGTTCGCATGCTTTTCATCACTCATGAACTGCACGCACTCACTTCAAGGTGTCAGTCTCGTTCTTGCTTCCCACACAGGCCGACACACGTGCCAGCTGTCTGCTGAAGCAGTGAGGGATGAAACTGAAACTTGGCTCCGCCAAGATGCCATGACCACAAAGACACCGCTCATCACCAAGACCACAAATACGCCTGTTGACAAGATGAGGCTCATTTCAATCCACACCGTGACAAGTGCGAGCTGCTGAACGCAGCTTCCTAGCCGAAAGTTGGCAAAAGCAGCCACTGCAGAGCTCAGAGTCTGGAGTCCTTGTGCCACCGGAGCGATAATGATTTGCCTGAGGGACCTCGCTTGGATTCCGCATGTCAAGCGATGTTTTGGCATTACTTTCTCCCAGCGCAGCCTCTCAGAATCCACTGAGCTCCAGGCTTTCGCAACTTTGTCCATGTGGCAATCTCCTGAGGTTTGATGTGCACACGCACTTTGCTGAGTAGTCCCAACCAGCTCTTCTGGCCTTTACCTGCGTACTTCCTCATCCCCTCCATGAAGCCTATCCTGTTGGATCTTACTTGATGTGCAGTCAACATAGGCTTCGTAAACAGGAGACGCTGCTGCATCTTGCTGCACCGATGTGAAGCATGCTATTTGCCAGCAAGAAGCGTATACACACCACAGGCGGGTGAAGTACCTGTCGTAGAGAAAGGCCAACATATGCGAGAGACTGAACACTGTCCGCCTACCCCGGCGGCCTACCCTACTGTCCAACCAGAGTGCCAGGGACATCTTTGCACATGAATTGACTGGTTAGGACTTGCCTGCTCAGCGAGCAGTACAAGCGTGACATTCGCAAGCTTGCGACCGAATCGAGTATCATCATTGTCATTCATCATCCTCCTCGTTATCGTCACGTTATCATCATCATCATCCTCATCATCAGCGGCACCATCATCATCATCATCATCATCATCATCAACATCATCATCAAGCACTCCTGCATGCGGTGAACATTCTTTGCCAATCAAAACTGACCCCTTCTTGAGGAGTTAAGGTTCCTGAAATGGGGACTGACGAGTCAGCTTGCGTGTTCAAAATCTGCGCTCACCTGGGGCTCCAGAGGACAACCAAGCGCTTGGAAAGCCTCGGATTCGCATCAGCCCAACATCACTTGCAGTGCGCGTGTGGTAGTAAAAGGAGCTAAGAGGCTTGAGAAAGCCAGCCAATCCCATGATACCCTTCTTCTTCCTGGGCCGCGGCATCACAAGACTCGTGGCTTTCGCAGGCAATGGCACGCAGCGGAGGCAAACATGCTGCAAGGGAGTCCGGTTTTGCGCTCATGTTCATGCATGCAGAAACCCATTGATGCAGCGGAGGATCAATTCAGGATCGTTCTGCTCGATGCACATCCTGTCTCTCACTGTGATCACACAGCATGTAGCAAGCCCCGTGTGCCGCATTTCTCCAGCATGGGCTCTTTCTGCAAGAGTCCCACACGAAAAACCGCAGACCATGTGCTTGCGCCAAGTCCCGGCGCTGGGAACACTACGACATCCTACGACATGTCAGGCGCCTGTCCATGAAGACTTGCCTGGTTTGTCGGCAAACCTTGCTTCGCGTCATCGCGGTAGCTGCAGGGGTACCACAACTGACGCATGAGCCCCATCTCAACCGCAAGACTAGCAGACTGGCAGTCAAAGGAGCCGTAGGAGAAATAATATGCCGACAAATTAAACCCAAATCGACCAAGCATGCAGCCGCAAAGCCAAATGCTGCATGCGCTGCCAGAAGCACAAAGTCAGCAGGTAGAAACCTCACGCAACGTTGCTGCCGGCTGACAACCTGAAACTCTTCGAACGACAGCCATCCAGTGCGAAAGGCCAAGCTGCATGTGCCACATAGAAGCCCAAAGCATCCTGACGGCATCGGTGGAAGACACCGGAGACTCCACATTGAGCACAGCACAGTGCTGCCGATGGCTAAGGAAGCTTGCGAAGGCCAAGCGCACGCAGTTTGATTTTTTCCAAAGGCCTCTGGCCATCGTCATTTTGACCAACACCCTAAAGCCCAATTACCGACCCCAAGCCCCATTGCCACCCCCCGCGGTCAGGTCTTAAAAAAAATTCCCAAGCCGACTTTCAACCCGGTCAAGGCTTCAGGAGCAAAGGCTTGAAGGTTTGCCAACCCCCAAAGTCACCCTCATAGCCCCCCTTGTGCATGCCGAGATGTTTTGGGCACCGAACGTCCACAGACCACAGAGATGTGCAAAAAAAATCCCGTGTGCAGCCAGCTTGGGTGGTACTCCCTCCCTTCCTTAAGCTTCCTTTATCATTACGATTGCCGGGCGGCTCGGTCACAGTAAAATGGAATACAGCCGTATAATTGTGTAAAGGTTTTAAAGCTCAAAAATTCTTTCGTGTGAGTGACTCAACATGTCACACTCACCCTACGTGATGGTTCTGACCGGGATCGCCTTCCCACCACTAGCTCTTACAGGTTCAGAGATATGAGGCTTCGCTCATCAAGCCTTGAGGCCTTTCAGGCCTGAGAACGCAAGAATCTATAGCACCAGAATGGACGACCCAGAGCCCTCAAACTCGAATTGCACCCTCAGAAAAGGAAAAGATTGGGAAGCTAACAGCCCCAGCACAGCCCAGACCCTAGAGCCCGGCAGGAAAGCATCACATCCGACTGAACGGCAATCTCACTCCCTTCTCCAGCCCCTCCCACAATGAACAAAATCGGTCGCATCCCCAAACTCTTTTGTCGAATCAGCCATTCACGGACGGGGGGGTCGGGGGGGGGGGGGGACATAGGATGGTACCAAAGGCAAGCAAACGGTTGGGGTTAAGAGGTTGTACGCGCGAAGGGTTGCCCGGGTTCGAGAGGTCGTCTGCGCCACCCTTGGCGATTTTGGGACCTCCGACATTCCAGGCAGCACCGGGCCTTCACAGTTAGATGCGTGTGAATCGTGGCGTCTCGAAGCATTCAGTCCAAGCGGGGTCCACCCTCAAAACCGTCATCCTAAAGTTTCAAGATCGCAAGCAGCCCCACCTTAACCATCAACAGCCCGAACGTCAGTTGTGAAGGTTGCGACCGAAATCAGAAGCAGCGTCCCCGCCCCGTTCGTGTTGCTCTGAGAACCGGGTCGCCGAGCACCAGCACTCTTGAACCATTGAACCGGTAGAGATTAACATTAACTCAACATCTTAAACGTCTTGACCGAGAAAGCGCGGCTCAATGGTTTCACAGTTTTCAGGAACTCTCGACTCGCTTCAGGGCATGGGGGGGAGTTTTCTGATGGATCTGAATTCTGGGCCCATGTTTGGTACCCTAAACTTCTCGCCTTCCCAGCGTTCTCCCCCTGCCAGGTTCGCCCTTAAAGCCATGGAAAAGCAAAGGGTCGGTTTCGGAGACCGGTGCCCTCTTGTGTAATTATATTCTAACTCTCCACGTGCCCGTTTTCGGAAGGGCTTTCTGCAAACTCGAAACGCACAAAGACTTGGCCTCGCTTCCTGGGCTTCACTTCAGGTCAGCGGTGCTTTCCCCGGCCTGCTGACGGTACGTCTATCCTCTCCCGGCCGATTGTCACCTCTGCACTCTGCGCACGCGAAGTTAAGCTGCTTTTTGTGCATCTCACGCCAAGGTTTTCACCAAGCTGCGTAGAGACCTGGGAGGAAGCGAAGTTCCTCAACTACTGTTTCCAGAATGCCTGCACCGATGCTGGCCTCAGACAGGGAGAGCCACAAACTGTCTCTCTCTTCAGCAATCGCCCTCTGGGGCACTGGCCAGCACGGCCTTGGCTCTGAACATGCTTTGTGGTTCGACTGATTTCTGCTCGATTGCCAAAAGTACCAGCCAGGGCACAATGATGATAGCCGGTCGACCATTGTAGAGCGTGCACCTGAGGCAGTTTAGCAAAGTCCAGGCAGACAGCCTGCAGGACAAAGGAGGGATACTGCAAGACTTATGCAGACTCTGTGCATGTGTAGAGATAGGTTGATTTCTCCGGGTGCTGGCATAACGTAGAATCAGGCGCTACAACACAAAGGCGGGTGGGTACCAGGACATACCCATCTCAATGCTGGCCAATACAAAAGGCAGCCCAGTCACAAAGTCATGAACTTCCTTAGTATCATTGAACTGCTGTCTGCAGAAAGAGACTCTGACCCATGACTGCCTACCCAGGCCAAGCCTGTGGAAGCAGCTAGCATGACAGCCATTAGTTGCAGAATCAAAGGTCACATGAATGAGTTCCACATGGTGTCGTGAACGGGTGCAGAGAAGCAACTTCACCCTCAAAGAACCACGGCTTAACTCTATCCATGTCTCGCATTGCCACTGGTCGACCAGTCGTGAGAGATGAAATCGTCAATGTGTTTTGTCTCGCGGGCTCTTTCCTGCAACTTGACTTGATGGAGCTCCAACGTTGCTAGCCATGCAAGGTAGCTATGAAAGCCTCATAGAGCCAGGCACTTCGCTCACATCACTCAGTCCTACACCTTCCATTCAACCTATTTCGCAACGGGAGACTGGCCTGCACAGTTCGGCTGTGGCCTAACCCACCGGTGATCTGTCCCTGCCAGTGCTTACCTGAGCTTCATCTCGCAACTTCGGTTCTTTCGACCGACGCTCCCTTCGCAGTCCCATCGCATCTACCTCATCTCCCAGCGAGGCATCTGAACCGAGGCGCCGAAGCCCTCCAGGCAGTCTGACAGGTGCACCGCCTGCAGCGGCTCAGATTGGCTCCAAGACAAGTTGGCAGCTCTGCTTTCATGCTCGTTGTTCCAGGAATGTCTCATGTTTAAGTGGTCGTCTCATCAAGGCAACCCAGCTGCGACATGCCAGTCAGTATATAAGCAACAGTATTAGCACCGCAGCTCACCTACTCCCATACTGAATGATGCCGCACTGAGGCATATGAGTTTTCAGGACAGATACGGGTGCTGAGACCGCCTTTGAAATTTCTGGGCTGAGCTCCTCCACCAGCGTGAAGTTCCTCGGATCAAGCCGTGCCAGGATGCAAACATATGCAAACGTCCCTCGCGTCAATAGACGCCTGAACAACTTTCCCCGAAAAACTTTAAAACCTTTAGAACATATAAACTGAAAACTAAAGCCCCAAACCCTAAACCCTAAACCCTAAACCCTAAACCCTAAACCCTCAACCCTAAACCCTCAACCCTCAACCCTAAACCCTCAACCCTAAACCCTAAACCCTGAAATCCTAACCCATCCCAGCATCATCATGCTGGCGAGGCCGGGGTCCTCGACCTCGGCCATTTCCAGGTCCTCTTGCGGAAGGCTTGGGGCCAATGAGTTTAGGTTTTAGGGTTTAGGGTTTAGGGTTTAGGGTTTAGGGTTTAGGGTAGGGAGTTTAGGGACTTCGGGTTTTAGGTACAAGGGCTCTCATTTTGAGAGTTTCACAGGCAGGCATACTCGGGCATGCACGAGATTACTCGGGCGTACTCGGGCGCACTCGGGCGCGCTCGGGCGCGCTCAGGCGACTCGGGCCGTACTCAGGGGTACTCGGGCTGCAGTCACAGAGCGCAGCCAATGTGACTTTCGTCACTTTTGGAGTGGCGACTTGTCTTGGAGTGCCAATGTGCTGAGACAGACGCGTCGTGCCTGTGGAGAATGCCACTCTCGTGATTTTCATCACTTGTGGAGCATCTTGGAGCTCCAGCTTGGCTGTCGTAGCCTTGACGATCTGACAAGTGGTAACGATGCGGATGTCATTAATGATGATGAGGACACGTCGTCGGGCGTTCAGAAGCGCTCCACCACCTCATTTCAGCAATCCACGCCACCAGCAGGACCAGTCGGACAACGTTGCCCCATGCTCGAGGCTGACAGACTTATCATTCGTATCACTGGGCATAGCCTGCTCGGTCGGATAAATGGGTGCGCAGTGTCTTTGTCATGCCATTCCATTGTGCAAGTCGGGGCGACGCCTGGAAACTCGTGTGTTGGTTGAGGGCGTGGTGTGTCAGGGCGTGTCAGGGCGACACCTGAACGAACACGCGCTCACATATGATGGGGGGCTCGTCTGAGAGTAGCTGCCACATGGCATCTCGGAGGGGCCCACATGTGGGGGCCCACATGGAAGACATCACGCAGCTCGGATTCAGAACGGTCCTGAGCTTAGAGAGACCAGATCCTTGAGATCAGTCAAGGAGAAAGCGACTCTTTTTCAGGTGCCACCCGACATCGTGACGTACTGTTTCTGCCATGGTCCTGCTATGTTTCACAGGTGCTTACCTGCGTTCGGGTTCGTACCTCTGTCAGGTGTTTTGGGTGTGCGCGTGTGTGCGCGTGCGCTTTTTTTGAGGGGGAGGGGGGGGGGGGGGGGAGTGGGAGAATTGCGGCTTAGAGCTTAGGCGTAGGGCTTCAGAGCAAAAAAAGTAGAATTCCGGGCCGCGCCTCACCATTGCTGTCCTCAGGAGTCCCAGGGTAAATCGAGATTAGGGGGCTTAGAAGTTGAGTGTCCCGCGCTCACCTATGCAGCTACCGTCAAGTCCACCAAAGCAATGCAAACAAGTCACATCATACTCTCCACCTGAGACAAGCCGCATATGCAAGTCGCACGCGCAAAGGCAAAGGCAAGCACAACCCACAAAGTTGATTGTCATAAAGGTGTCAGCACTTGGTGACTAAGCCCAGAGCTAACAATGGACACATCGTCTTCAGTGTCATCATCATCATCACCGGTGCCGCCCTCATCTTGCTCATCTTCCTGCACAGATTCCATGCCTCAGGATGCACTTCAGCCACAACAGCTGCAAACTTCGAGGCTGCTCCGATAAAATTGTTTACTCTGGATTCAAAGGTCCTAGGGCCTAGCGCTGCAGAAAGACCCGTAAGATCCCGTAGGGTCCATGTATCATGTCAAGTCCATGCCTTGCTGATGCCATCTAACAACTCCCACCACGAATCTCTTGACATTATGGCGCAGCTGAGGTGCTAGGCTAGGGGTCTGGCCGCCAGTGCAAGCAGCCGACGATGGCAGCGCCCCATGGCAAACCCACGCGCAATGCGGATGTCTTAGCTACTCGTCAAGGCACATGGCACGTCCGACGTCCTTTGCTCGAGGAATGAGCTGGAGGTGCGTGGCAACGGTGGCCTGCTGACGTGCGCATCGTGAACGATTTTATTCGATTCCATGTTATTGCCAGCTCTGACTTCTGAAGGCGTGCAGCATGCCATCATGAGCAGCAGCACAATTCCACGCGCAATTCGGTGAACGAATCAAGTTCTGAGACCCCCGACATCCTGATATGCCCCCACACTCTTTCAAAGCACAGCACTCACAAAGAGCTGAGCCGACACTGAGCCCGTCTCCCCCGAGCACCGCCCCGGTGTCTGGAAAGCCATGACTGCGCTGCTCTGCCCTGGAAGTTCGGCAAACACTGACCGGTCACTCCCATTTCCTAGCGCCATCTCACGCTTCTGAAAGCTCGTCACAGAAAACGCGCCAGAAGGTCTCAGAAGGTCTCAAAAGGTCTCTTAGAAGCTCTCTCAGAAGGTCTCAGAAGCTTGCAGGATGCGCTGCCTGGAAGTGTACGCGCCGATGCGGCGCTCCCCGCTGAAGCACTACCGTGTAGTGGCGACGAGAATGTGTTTTCAAGGTGTGCTGTTTCTTAACAGACAGTAGGTCTACGCCATCATATGGTTGGCCTGGTGATGAGCTGGGCTTGGTATTGGAGCAAACTTGGCGCTCAAGGCTTTCGGGTCTTCGGGACTGTGTTGGTTGCAGTTCACTTTGCTCATTTTCTTGGGCCGGCTGGCTGCGGAACGTGCACAAAGGCGAACTGCGTATGCTCCCGGCGCGACAGTGACCCAGAGGCGAGATAAATCCACGGCTCAACACGTATGCAATCCGCAGGCTACACTTGTTGGTCAGCATATCCTTCGAACCACCTCTAGTGGCGGCTGTCTCGGGAGAAGCCGGCGCTCGCCAATGACAACTCCGAGCTTGCCTTTGTGGGGACGACAACTTGGGAGAAAACCCTGGCACAAAGCTTGCAATGAGCTCTCATCTGTGGGCAGGGTGGGCTCGAGCATCACTCAGTATCAGATGTTTAAATAGCTTGGCCTGGTCCAGGGCAGAAGATGATCATCCTCAGGCAACTCAATGCTGGTACCGCTCGCATTGTCAAACTTGACCTTTCGAAGCTTTCTGGACCAGCGTTATGCAAATGCAATGCAGCTACTCTCTTCTTGTGACGCCAGATTCCGCCCCTTTTCTGACCGGCTTCTCCTCTGTCTCTCCTTTTTTTGCGGCCGAGCTTCGCGCCATTGACCTGGGACAGAAGAGCCTTTAACCCAGTAACTGAGATGCTCTGGTTGGACAGCCCGCCCCGGCCTGGATCTCCCCCAGGACGGGCAGGTGCAGCTGCTGCTGGCAGTCTTGTAAGTGTAGCTCCTCGTCATCCACACTTAAGACAGAACTTTGGACCAAGGCCACGCCGGTCTTTGACACTGCACTCATTATCAGAGTGGCCAGACCACTCATCTTGAAGCTAATTCTCATCAGAGCTCGCAGCACTGCCAGACTTCGTGCACATGCACAACTTGCCTGGTACTTTTGGTGAACGTCCGCGCATTGAAGTGCTTTAGCTGGCATTACGAAGCTGGAATACGAACTGTAGGAACAGGTCCAAGACATCCAAATTTCCTGCGATGTAACACAGTGACACTGGGCCAGTCAAGGTTGCCTCGCACACAGTTGCCCAGTTCGTCACCACACCAACTCCTTTGCAAAGAAGTCGATGTCTACAAGCAACGTACGACAACATGTTGTGAAAGAAACCCGCAGTGCACCGATGGCATGCAGTTTGGATGCATGCAGCTTCCCAATGGTTCCAACGCGTCTGCTCCTGATCGCTTGGTCATGGCCTATGGCGAATGAGTGGACGGACTCACTGAAGCGAGAGAAGGATGTGAAGGGTTTACGATTGCCGGCGGTTGCAACATGGGGCGAGATCATGAGAAGAAGAAAACTCGCATCGGCATTGCTTCTGCATTGGACATGTGTGCTCAGGTGCAAGGCACTGCGCATGCTGCGGCTCTTCCTTTCACCGGCTCCGTGGCGTAGCTATGCTGTGGTTCGTAGCGAACGCAAGGCAAGGATTCGTCACAACTCCTTATAATTACCGAGTGCGCCCTACAACGACTCCAAGAAATCTCAGGATTTTGGAAGGGGTTCGATCGATGCTCTAGCCATGTCTGAACCACTTTGCTGAGCTCTGTGGAAGCTTGCGCTGACGTATAGAATTTAGCAGGTGGCAAGTGTTCATGCAGTTGTTTACACGGTTCGTATGCGCGGCTGGTGCACAGCTACCTCTTGCCTCTAGCGCCTGACTTTTTTGCGTAAAGCAGCGCATGCGGTAGCCAAGCTGGCACGAGACATTCACGTTAAGTACCCGTCTCTGCCTAGACCTTACGCTGTGCAAGCAGACTTGAGTCTCAAACGAAGCACGAGCAGAGTGCAGAGTCGCTCAGCTGTGTAGTTTGCCATCCCAGTTTTGTATATGCAACTCGCAACCAAGCTGCGGCCATGGATGCTCCGGAGGAAGCCCGGCACGTCTGCGCCTCTGGCACGTCCGTGGCTGGACACAATTTGGACTAACTGCCCGCGGCAACCCCTGGGATCCCGGGCGGCCAGCACGAAAGGCAGGAGCTTGCAGGGAAGACCTGCACAGCTTGAGCCTCTGTAGAACTGCAGCCAGCGAACGTCTAACAACGTCTTACTGGCCCTCCTGGGACCTGATCTCCTATAGCCCTGTGGGATCTGAAGTGGCAGGCCTGATACAGGCCGGACTCGTAAACTCTTCCTTGGCAAGCGAGTGCGAAGAAGGTGAAAAGTGGAAGAAGTTCCAGAATCGGACCAGCCGCCGGCCAGAACTGGACGCCACCCTTGTAGTTGCCTTGCGGGCTTGTGCAGACTCATCCACTGAGAGGATCCGTGATCTAGCAGCCCAAAAAAGCGCCCATCATCGTACTGTAGCCTTCTTAGCCTACCCTTCCTGACGGATCTTGACATGCTAGAGCAGATTTCGGTTCCAAAACGGCATTTTGGGACTTGACTTGGGATGGCCCGAAGGCAGGACCAGATCAAGAAAAGAAACTCCGGTCTCTACAATGCTAATGCCTAGTGCTCTTCGCCAAGCGCAACGTTACATTCAAAAAAAGGTGAGCGTCAGGGGCCTGCATGGATCTTGTCCAAGCCGCAGAGACGGCCCCTAAAGTTTACCTGAGTGTCACTATTCTGTGGTGCATCAGCCTCGCTTCCTAGATGCAAAGCTTCTTGGACAAACTCCACACATCACACGCTGTTGGCGGCTGCACATGCTTGACTGTCCCCAGCACGTGCTGGCTGCGAACTTCTAAGTCCAGGAAAGTGTCGGACATGACGCCGTAGTCGAATTTCCGGCTGCTCAAGAAGCATGAGGTCAAAACCTGAAGTCATCACAGAACATGGCTTTAGAACCCAGGAAACCCACGACATGTTCATCAGGCTTTACAACATGTCGCCCCTTTGAGTGCAAGTTGAGCCAAGGCACATCATTTGTTGACACGAAGCTTTCCGCAGAGCTTTGGCGGCGCTTCTCCTTGTGTGTCGATGAACAAACACATCACTTTGGATGCCGGTGTGCAGAGAGTGCTGTCAGGATGTGCGGCCTCGCAAGGACACCTACAAACGCCTCTCCCGAAAACCACGATCCCAAGGCTTCAGGACTTTACAGCTCTCCTCGGCGATCCAGGCCGAGTCAACTTCCCAGGCGCTCCACCGGTGCCTTCGGGAGGTAGGCCCAAACTCCCCCCCCCCCCCACAGCTGCCCTCAAGTGCCTGACCTCCCTTCCCCTGTCTTTGGCACCCGGGCGCCCAAACTGTCTGGGCCTTTCCCCGCCGCTCAACACACAAAACTCAAGTACTGCCGAGAGCAAACAGTGTGGAAGACCTGCAGCTTCTGGCTCCTGACTGCCATCTAAAATCATCTAGGAGGGCTACAAGCCACCAGCTCCTTAGCTTGGCTTCGCCTGGGCCGCAACTTGCGATCCAAGATGGAGCCCCAGCGTGCGCGGCGCGAGCTGAGCCACGCAACCTGCTCACACACAGCCTCTGCTCACACCCTCTTTGATCCGAAAGGAAAGATGTTAAAATATGTGAAAGTTTGAAGCCGTGCCGATGGCCTTCTCAATCCCCAGGGTCTGGGCCATGGCCACCGGGAATTCAAGCTTTCCTCGGCTGCAGCCCTTTCACGGGGTTAAGGTTTTAAGTTTCAAGAAGGGTCGCGTGATGACATCACATGAATGTATAGCCCAGGCTCGAATGGGGTTTAGTCGGACCCGCGCCGGTCCTCCCAACATGAACACCCCAAAATCTTCGGCCGAGTTGGATGCGACTCACAACCACTGCAATCCTCGCCTACTGATAAATCCCGGGACACTTGGCTACATATGCTGAGGCTATTTTGAGGGGAGGACCCATGAATTAATCCCATGCCATGGAGCCGGCGTCTTCTTTGTTCGAGAGTTGCACTTCTGTCCAACTCTTTTGATAACTTCTGTCACGCACACTTGAGACGATGCCGGATGCCACAAGCACGCCCCTGCACCAGCCGTCCTTCCCCAGCTGCATACACTGTGCCACCTCCGAGCAATAGGACCAGTCATGTTCAGGGCGAAGCTTCAGTACCGATGAGATCCGGCAACTCAACTGCAACAGAGGGAGGACGCGGAGGAGGAGTGGAAAAGTGTCGGGGCCCCTGCTCTCACTCATGAGTACTTGTTACGTGTGCGTAGCATGGGTTACCAGATGTTGCCATTCAGGGCATGCGTGCTGCGGGTAGCAGCAGTGCTGGACTCAGCTGGGAGCAGTTGACCCTGAATCTGTATGCTTGCCGGGAGAAGTTCATGTGCAGCAAATACAAGGGTAGTAAACGAAGACAGCTGTCCAGTAACAAAGTTAAGCAATGAAGCCGACATGCTGCAGCTTGTTGGGCACAAGGTTTCATGAGACACGCTTTCATGCCTTCGTGAATTATGTCACAGACACGGCAAGGGCCAAGCACTCCAGAAAGGGCTCACGTGTGCCTGGGACGGAAGGTCCTCTCATGTGGTCCAGACAATTGGAACTCCAGGAGAAAACAGGTGGCCTGAACTTGCCTCAACCTCCTTTCTGCACCACCAAAGCGACAAGTGACACAAGCACTGAAGGTGATGTGGAAGCCTGGCCTATCTCCTTCTTCTGCTGGTCCAGAGCACCGAAGATGCGGTAGTACGTGAAGCCATCTCCAAGCACGTGGCTCATGGAGACGACCAGGGCAAATCTACCTGGAATTCTGGAGCAACATAGGGCAAGACACCACTCTTTCAGGAGTTCGGGCACTCTGCGACACCCATTGGGCACTTAATAAATGCAGCCATTACAGAACATCTCGATAATGAAACATCCCGATGAGAGTCGGTGCACCGCCCTGCGAGTGCTGGAACTTCTACATACAACCAGCCAAGCTGCCTGGGGCTATAGTCACAACCTCGTTGAGGCGTGCGATTCTGAAATCAGAATGAGAAGGGCACCCCGCCGTCGGGGGGTTGCTGCGAGCTTCTTGGAAAGATCACTGAGATCACACAATACGAGAATCATCGGGCTCTGGCCGATGCACCCCACACAAGCCCTTCTTCTAGACATGCTCTCGGCACCATGGTCACTGAAGGACTGGGAGGAAAGGACAACGGTGGAAAGCATGTGAGGAGAACAAATCACGCGTGCTCTTGTCAGTGGAGCACGGAGTTGGAAGAGTCCCGAAACTTGAGGACTCAAGAAGTACCCGACAAGCGATTACCTGTCGCAAGCACACCAATTGGCTCTGAGCCACCGACGTGTAGAAGAGAGGGCTTGCAGTGTCAAGACAGTCCACGCCAGGCTGCACGGTGACCTGGGATCTGATTCATTGCTTGCGTCCATCCCAAGCTCATTCCCACATTATCCTGCAGTTCTATGGAATGAAGTACCCTAATTACCATAAATACCCTAATTACCCTAATTTCCCTAACTACCCCTAATTACCCTAATTACTCGAGTTACCCTAAGTACCCTAAAATCCTCAATTCGTAGGCACTTAGACGAGCAGCAGCTTCCAGCAGCCGGCGCATTTTCTGCAGGGGAGTCCGTTGAGTCAGCTGCCGCCTGGAGGTCCTCGGCAAGGAGGGCTTGAAAGCATCGTTAGGGTTTAGGGTTTAGGGGCTTAGGGCTTAGGGCTTAGGGTTTCTGGTTTAGGGTCTAGGGTTTATGGTTTAGGGTTGGGATGCTTCAGCTGTGGGCTTTGCAGACTGTTCATGTGGTATCGCGCTACTGCTGGAAACCATCGGCTCGTCTTCAGGCAAAATCTTTTCGTGCGACGGACAACAAACTGGTGCAGGATGCAGACACGGATCGAGAATCCTCACAACACATTTGAACTAGTCGTACACGGACCCTCCAAGCTTCACTACTGGTACCGAATATGAAGAAGCACGACACCTGGGCTCTGAGGATCCCAGGCAAAATCAGTAAAAAGGCCTGCCAGTTCGATTGATGACATCCCTTCCTTCTGACACCAACACTGCTTGAGGCTTCCGAGGACCCCTCAAGATCCAAGTCCTGACGATCCCGGAAACTTCACTTTGTCAGAAGGGTCGCTCGGTGAAGTGCGCTTCAACGCTGGGCGTCTCTTTGGGTACACAGAGCACTGTCGTGCCAGAAGCCCTGTCGCAGCTCAAAGGGTGGATGTACTTTACCCAAGGCACGGAAGTTCTCTAAATCTCACCCTCAGCCGAGTGAATCATGCTTGCATTTATGTCTCCGCAACGGCTCCTCGAGACTGCGGGTTTGTCAACTGAAGCTGCCTGCCCCCCCCCGCGGCCCCCCACCCCAAGGTATGTGATCGCCCCACGCTCCCCTCCCCTTCCGCCTCATGGAACCCTTCCCGCAGGTGGCTCTTTTTGCGGAAACCCACGTTTGGGCATCGTTGTTTGTCGAAACTTTGAACCCTCACAAGGATCGCCCGTGTCGTGCTCGCGATTCTCGTAGCTGTCGTCGCTGAACTTGTCTTCGCGTCTCCAAAGTGTCAACAGTCACAGGGCTTCCCTTTGCTGTGGTCTTCCTCCGGGTCGGTCACGAAATGAAATTTGTTGGCCGTATGTTACGAGAAGAGTCGCTGGGGATAACAGTGTGATCATGTTGAAGATCGGCATAGATCAACACGGCGAAAAGTGTGGCAGAGCCATGACATGATGGCATGACCACGAACTTGCTGTCTTGATGGTAAGAAGAGTGTTGCGCAGCCACGCTTGCTGTCATGATGCAGAACAGATATCAATGTTGCGAAATGTGGGGCCGGGCCTTTAGTGTCGAAAGGGCCACAACAGTTGCGAGGATAGCAACCCTGACGCATCCAAAAAAACCAAAATACCATATCACAGAGGCGGGACGATGGCGACCGACGAAGACCCCTTCAAACACCGCCCACAAACACCACATCACACCACAGCAAGCCACCACCATGCCATGCAGGGGGCTGGTTCTCATAAATGGTTGCGCGCTGTGCATTCTCGCTCCGCCCCCTGGTATAGCTCCCCACCGTCTCTCCCCTCCCCTAAGCCTGAAAACCCCTAACTCCAACCCCAAAACCTTAAACCCCAAAACCCTATAAACCCTAAACCCAAACACTCTAAACCCTAACCCTAAGCCATAAAACCCGAAGCCATAAAAACCGAAGCCATGAAACCCTAAACCCACAAACCCGAAACCTTAAACTCCCAACCCTAAACGGTGTAACTAAACCTAAGCCCGGATCCCTAATCCCTTAAACCCTAAAACCCAAAAACCCTACAACCCTAAAACCCTAAACAAGCCACAAAACCAAACCACCCATATATGCCTTTTGCATGAAAGTCTTGCCTGTCTCGCCGCAGCCGTCCACTCAGCCAAGGATTTGCGGCGAGAAGTGTCTGCAGGGCTCCAAGAACTCTCCAATTTTACAGCACTCTCCGCTCTTTCACTACATTTCATGTGTCATAGGTCCCTTCAAGGGATTTCGTTCTATTTGGGGTATAAACGGCTACCCCTATTTTGGGAAACACCCATTTCGAGGCTCAAGCTCGCATGACCCCGATCCTGCGTCATGTCGCGGAGAAGGGCGGTGGGAGGCTCGCCTTCGTAGAAGGTCACCTTATCAAAGCCAAAGCGTGCCAGGTGCAGAGTAGAACTCAACAGCAGATGTGGAATCCATGCGGAGGAATGATGTGGAATGCTGCTGGACAGAACTGTGGAAGAGATGGGACAACTGCATCCTGGTGGTGGCATGTTGGAGCTCCAAGTTGCAGTAGTAATCGAAGGTAGCATCAGGATGGAGCCAGCCTGCCAGTCACAGCACAAGGAAAGAAAAGCAACGTTGCGTGCAGCTTGGCCATGTGAAGCGGATGCTGCATGCACGTAGTGTGAGTTCTTGCCACTTCTCTTGGCCTCATCAGGCAGCAGGGGCACCACGCGTGCACTGCGCCTCTCCGTTCAAAAGCAGACAAGAAGATGGTCACATTTGAGAGTCCCTGAATCGACAAGAGCCTTGAAGCCTACAGGCAGTCCCAGAATATCGAGTTAAACATGAACATGCATAAACACACTTGGGGCCACAAGATGCCACAAGCCCAACCCTTCGTTGCCTGGTCATCCGCCTGGCTCGTCTGCACAGGGCAATGGATGGCGATAGCGCGGTGGCTGAAGCCAAGAAGCCTCTGCTGCTACGGGGGTCTGGGGCTTTTAAGTTAAGGATGTCTAAGGTCCACTAAACCCATCACCTGAATCAAAATCCCTGAGAACCTTGCATGATTTAGTCGAGGCTTTCAGGGACTCAGCGTAAACCTCCCGCACGGAAATCCAAGCTCAAGTGGTAGCGGGCGACTGCGGACACTGGGACGGCCTCGCCGTTCGCACCTGCTCCAGTGCCGGCATCCTGAAAAGGGACTTGGAGGGACTTGCCGTGTCTTTTGCTGGAGAACCTTTACATTGGGACCAAGGCAGTCCAAGACGATCTCCTACGGTCAAATAGCTTGCTCAGGTGCGATCTCCTATGGCCTGTGGGGAGTGAAGCTGGGGCACAGAGCTGCGCAGGCGCGAGCATCGCGTCCGGAAGACCGGCTGCAAATGTCCAGCTTTGCGGGGATGTTGGGGGTCAGGCAAATGGGATGTGGTACGAGGATGCAGATGCATGAAGAAGACGTGTTGTGCTTATTGTAGTTCTCGCATCACTGTCAACAAACATCCAAGCGTGCTCGTCTTGACATCAGCGCACTTTAACATCAGCCTTCAGACCATGCACTGGATCTCCAAATCTACCGGACAACTTGTGCCTGGAAGACCCCCCTGTCATACACTCTAGCAGTCAGCTGGCACACAGAGTCACCCTGCGCAACGTCTCCAGGCAGCTGAGACGCTACGCCGTTCACAACCCCAAGTCTACATGCTCGTCCCATGCTGTCTCGCTCTTCCTTTCTTTCCACGTCAACCCCATGCTGATACATTAAGACGCAAGCCAGCCGAAACTCATTTTGACTATGGTGCGAGCTGGAATGGTTGGTGGTGAAACGCTATGGCTCTAGGTTCCTGCAGTTTGTGAAGAGTCGCTTGTGCATGTACGCGGTCACTTGACAATATTTTCTCAGCCACCCCTTTGAACGCCTCATCCGCTTCCCAACAGATCATGCGTAATTGAGGCAGGAAGCTGAATCGAGCGAGAGAGCCTTTCACTGTCACAATGCGGGGGGGGGGGGCAGAAGTGCATGTCACGTTAAATCTTCATACAAGTAAGTTTCACTTCAAACCTAGTTTGTGTGAATGTTCGAGCCCTCGCAAGGACCTTCGTCTTGCCTCACTCCTCGCCTCCGGCAAGAGCATCCCACTCATACATGCTGAAGAAGCACACCTGGTCCTGCCAGGAAAGGGCACAAGCAGCTCGCATCCACACAAACATACCCAGGAAGCTGTCACCGTCCTGGCACTTCGACTACAGCTACGGCTGAGATTCTGCTGCGCATTCGTGCCACTTCGACGTGCCCCCATACAGTCCCTTACTGGTACCACGAAAAGCCGGGGGAAGCGGTCCTTGCATCGCAGGATGCTCTGCTCGTTCTTGATGGCAGTATCGGGATCAACAACCTCCCAGCGGCCCAATGCGCCAGCGCATAAACACGCTGACTGCCGATCTTACCGCGGCATGTCCGGAGGGATTGTGCTTCAAAACTTAGCTTCGGGCAAACTGTGTGAGTGGGGCAGACTATGGCCATCTATGGCCACACACTCTTCAGGCCTCTTCTTCGCCTACGTGACAGTTTTCTTTGCATGATTCCAGCCCTGGATATGAGGCTGGATGCACAAGAGTTTTCCTTTGCAGCTGCTTCTTGTTCATGGGCGGCTGCAAGTGACTGAGAATGAGGCTGCCACTATCTGCCACTGCGTGTGTGAAGCTTGCTTTTGGTGAAATGTCGCCAGAGCCGTGAGAGTGGTGTTGAGTCCAAAGCTTGTACATGTGTGCGTGTAGACTTGTGCATGTAGATGTGCAAAGCATGCTACTGGGTAGCCCCTCCAAGCTGCAGTTCTCAGCATCTTTAAGCAGGCCTCCTTCTCGCTGTCTTTTAGCTTAACGTCCACATTGCCAAATGCCCGGAACACCTCAGGTTTCAAGCTACCTGCTGCCCGGAGCCATTTCTTGACGCACTTTGGAGCATGCGCCGCATGCGGATAGGAACTGGAAAACATAGAGAGAGGCTGCGGCTGACTGCTCATCCTGCTGCTCGTAATACACCCAGCAGACCTGACAAGCATTGGCGGGAAGGGAGAGATCTGCCATAATCTGTCGTCATCTGTCACTGTGCTCCTCAGGACTCAACATAGCTGCGGTTGTCACCGCGCCCGGAGAGCTTGGAGCTTTCCTTCAAAGGCCAGACCTGGGTCAAACTGCGGGTAGCCAGCAGACATGCCGAGCTCCGGTGTGTGGTGGGGTGCTGTCGCCGGGGTATTGCTACAAAGGCCACTAGTTGTCCATGGCTTCTCAAGGAAGCTGCCGTCAAGGTGCCATCAGCGAAAACTTCCATCTCACCATGAAGTCCACGCTCAATACCTTGACATCTAGTGATGACTTCCGAGATCTCACAGGCATGCCCAGCTCTGCCCTGCTCTGCCCAGCTCTTATACCCTCGGCTCCCAAATCCAACCCTCCGAGCTGTTCATTCGAGGCCACGGTTTCGATGTGCTTCCCTCGGACGATGGCGGTGCCTGACGGAGATGAGCGAGGCTACTCTCACGGTGTTACAGCTATGGGCAAGCTACGACTAATCGTGACTACGAGTCTTGAGAGGTGGCACAAGTCATTGTCTTCAAAGGAAATACTAGAAATGCTCCGATCACATCAAAAATTTGGGAGTGCCTGGCATCTCAGTGCCCGGCGTTTGACGAGGCTTTTCCTCAGCTTAGCCTTCTCGAGGTCCTCCTGTGCAAGAACATCCTGGCACGCAGGCTTCAGCAATCGCACATTCCTTCGCGTGGCTCAGCTTCTGCACATGTCTGCTCGCAGGCATCATAGGGATAAGACGCCTCGTTCGTTGGCCAAGCGGGCGGGCACCATCCGTCAGCTGTTGGATAGATGCCCTCCGTAGCCTCGGCTGGGAGAACACCCCTCTCTTCGACTGCGCATTGCAGAAGATAGCGAAGACCCATGGAGACAGCTTTGCCTGAAGCCTGAGGCTCTCACCCACATGATGTGGCACAAAGATTGGCCCTCAAACTGTCACGGACTGCAGTTTGAGCCACTGGGAGAAGAAGTTCTGGCAATCTCTAGCATACCCTCGAGTCACACAGCCAGCCCTGGAGTCGAAGCCCTATCTCGTGCCAGCTTGTCCATTTTCCAGCCTCTGCAGACTCTGCGCATCTCTGCACATCTCTGCATCCGGTCACAGTTCATTCTCTGACATCTGGAACACGCGCAAATGCGCAAAGCACTGCCTAATGGCTGGATCCGCATCCAACCAACTAAAGTAACTATAGCAGAACGGCAAGTGCGGCCACATGCTTAGCACAAAGCGCGTGGTCCAGGAAAAATCGCATTTGCAGTCACGGAAATCACACAGGCATCTCTCCCGTTTCTAGGGCAAGGCCAACGGCCATACTGCCCCTTTCTACGTTGGGCTACAAGGTGCAGGCCTTCCAGGCTTGGGGTTGCAAGTTCTGGGATGTTGGCTCCATTGGAAGGTCTTGCATCCTTGCGGCACTTTGGCCCATTTTCAATCAATCTTTCAGGGCGACCAAGAAGGAAGGGAGCTAAGGGCCCCCCCATCCCATCCCGGGATACCTCCAGCCTTCATGGAAGGCGTTTGTAGTGGTCGCCAAGGCACTTCCGGCGAGAGCGGCAACGTCGCACGCAAAGACACACCTGGAGCTCCGGAGGCAAAAGCAGATCAGCTCAGTTCATGTTGAAAAGCTTCTGCAGCTCTGCAGTGAGCTGTGTTCTATGTTCACAAGTCATGAGCCCTGAATCTTAAACTGCTATTGTGCCGGTTGCCAGTGGCCGGGGCTTGCCAGGCTGTCACTGGCATTGCAGGTTGCAAGGCAACCCACATGCGCTGGCAATTATCATCGAGACCCTTGATGCAGATGCAGATGTGGTAACAAGATTTGTGGTAATACGAATTATGATCAAAAACTAATATGAGTATCATTCCTCACATGAACACTAGCATTAATGCCTGCAGAGGTCGCCGCTTGAGTCGAGCGCTCTGTGCTTCCCTACATCGGTGACAAGCCCCCCGGGTCCCCGGCAATCAGGACCAAGAAGAGAAGCAAAAAGCCGATCCGAATGACCTACCAAGAAGCTTGCTCCCCTTTATGATACTGGCTTCTCGTCCTCCCGACCAAGTTGCCAGCTGAGCATCTGGCAGCGTTCCAGGGGCCCGCTTCAACGATAAACACGTACATGCCTTGATGATTGGAATGCCAATGCGAACGCCACTATGCATGCCAAGGCTGTGCTGCGTTGGCCCCGACAAAGCGTCTGCAAATTCAAGTCAATGTTGGGGCACTTGGCGTGCAGTTGGTCAGATGCAGCACATAACAACCGAATAACATCACGAGATGCAGCTTATCATAGCTTATCTGACATTGCTGAGTATTGCTGAGACGTGTGCTTCACCCATGCAGGCCAGCTCTCAACTAAACTCACAATGCAACAAGATAGTGCCGTTCATCCGACTGGGGAAAGGTGCATGCACCATGCGTCAAACGATTTCCGCCCTTCCATACTTTGCAAACCTCGGTTTCAAGACTCATGCTTTTCGAATCCCTACTGAAATGACCAGGTGCCGATGGTCCAGAGCTCCAGCTGCAGAAGCACATGATTCGGGTTCAGCTTGCACCACTGGGCAGGGCAGCAGGGCACCAGCTTGAAACACACCGCAGCTGGATCCGAAGCTCTAGATTCTTATAGGAAAAAGAAGGAAGGGCAGACTGTGCTCCAGGAACCGCTTTGGTGGACATCGCTTCGGAGCTTAGATGGTAGCAGCACATGCATTCTGGCCCACGAAGGTGGCCCTCCGGCAGCTCTACACCTCTAAGCCCACCTCTTTGAACTTGAACCCGGTGACCATGTAATGATCCGGCGCGTACCTGTCGTGCAAATGCGTTCCCTGGCAGAGCCCGCGCCCTCAGAACTCCAAAATCAAAGCAGGGGGCACCACAAGACGACGTGGTCCACGAACAGCGACTTGCTGGCCCAGGTCTGCGTGCGGTCAACACCTCACGAGGCAGGATCACAGTCGCCAAGATGGCGGAATGGCACGACATGCCAATCAGCAAGCTATTGCCGAGCCTTCCGCGCACTCCTTGGAAGAGTTTCTGCAGATCCGATGTGTTCCCCACACCGGGTCGGAGAAGAATTCCTGAGGGTCTCTTGCTGAGCTTTGGTGGTCTGCATAAGGTGAAGATCCCAACACACAGCGTCGCCCGTACATCTGTGTTGTATGTGCCAAACCATAGCGTGTGTCACAACAAGTGGAAGATTCCGAGCAGGGTCGAAGCGAGGGGATTCCAAGGGGGGGGGGGGGGCCGCACCTTAGGTCCCACGATATGCTGACACCAAAGAGGGCGCGAGGGGGGCGCCATTGCTATTCAGAATTGAGACGTCATCTTCTGGATCGATGCGGACTTTTGCTTTGGCAGTCGATGTTTGGCAAGGTCAACAAATATCAACGCATCCACTAGGCACAGAAGCGTGGAAACGCTGCCTGTGAGCGCTGCAGCTCAGCCGTACCGTACGTATCAACCACTTCGCACGCAAACTTGAAGCGGATCCTCTCTCGCGACTTCGCACGACGGTGTTGTTGCCCTGGCCGTGTTCGACTGTTCGCAGTTGGTCCAGGCATGTTGACGGTGAGAGGAGAAATCCTAGTTGCCTTATCATGCATTATGGAATGCAAATGTCATTTCCAGTTTGCTGCCCTCCACAGAACTGCCGACATTGCACTGTAGATATCAGCTGAGGCTCGTATGGCAACGGCTCGTAACGACCTTTGAACGGAAAGCCTCAGAAGGACAGCACAAAACCGGGAATCAACCCTTTTGGTTAAACCAGGACGTGTGCAGATGCGCAAGGTAGTACCCGGTTGTGTCAAGCAGCTGGGTGCCGTGTCTTGGCCATTGGTAAGCCGGATTACAGGAACAGGCGGGTGGCTGCGCGCCACGACGTCCACAAAGTACTGACCTGGGTTGATCTACTGATCAAAGGCTGTTCATGGCTTGCGCCCCTATGTTCTCCCTTAGCACCTTGAAATGCTGAATCCGCAAACCCTGGAAAACCCTAAAACGCCCTCCAAAGTCGAAGTCTTAGCCTGAAAGCGAAGCACCAGCAAGCCAGGGCTCGGTAGGCTTTATTGCCCGTCATCGGTGGCTCCAGCACATAGGAGAGCGCAACCTAAACCGCGTGACAGGGTTCGGGGTTATAGGGTTTCGGGCGCCCGTCACAGCATCATGTTTCATGCAATGCTGAGGAGAGGAAACTTAGCTCCTGGCATTGTAGCCTCACTTGTGAGCATGCTTGAACTCACTACTTGTCCCGCACTACCGGCCAAGCATTACGCTCACTGGATGCCCAGGCTTCCTCTAAAAACTATCGCAATGCCTGCTAGCACGTCGTGGAACGCGTGCAACCACACATGAGATTGAACTCTAGAGTGCCGAGATTGTGCCAAGATGCCGAAGCCCGTGAGGCCAGCAATCATAATGGATGAAACTGCACCCCCCATCGAGTGTCCTAGGCAAGAGAGACTCGCAAACCCAAACACGAGCCCACCTGGCTCATGTCTGCTGGTCGAAAACCCCAAAATTTGGCCAAGTGTCCCGTGACCCAGACGGGATCGCCCTGCACAGCTCAGGGAAGACAACGGCTCGAGATCGCAACACTGATTGCAACATTCAAGGTACTCGAGGGTCCTGGCGACGGCAGCCATTGTCAGCCTGGGCTGCAGGCGTCTTGCTACAGCCATCTACAACCTGCGGCCTGTAGCAGGGGCCATATTTCAAACTGCCACAGCTTCCCTTGCTCTTCCTTGCGAGACATTTCTGTCATCTGACATGTGGCTGGTTTGCAGTACATTGTGGCTGAACTTAAAGGAGGCAGCTCGACTTCTTGGCGCTTTGTGGGGAAGGCCAAAACGGGGGTCAGCTTTGAAAACGCCGGGTAGGAAGAAATGCCCTGCTCGACTTAACAGGTGTGCCCAAGCCAACAACTGTTCCTGCTCGTGGCGAGCTTCCAGGTATCTCCGGATGTTAGGCAGCGCCCGCTTGTAGATGTCATGGAAACCTGCAAACCGTAGGTGAGGCAATGCAAAGATTTCATGGTGACGCACGTGGAATTGGAATAAGCTCTGTTCCGTGAGCTGCAAATCTGTGATGGCTGCCCAGGGCGTTGAAAAGTTTAGTGCCCACGCCTTTGTGCACCCGACACCTGGGGCACTGCGACCACCTGGGATTGACCAGTGCCTTGGCTTGTTCTGAAAATCAAGGAAGGTCAGCCCAATACCGTTACCAGCTCAAGAATCTCAGTCGAAGCGCTTGCTGCACGTTCGCCACCCAGTTTGCCTTGTTTGAGCTCCCACGAGTAACCACGAAGCATCCTTTGGAAGGAACGTCCTGCAACAGAAGCAGCAGAGATCTGAGTAAAGTGGGATCTCCAGCTTTGACACATTGCTCGCCTTCGCTTCGTCGCTAATGCGCTGAAACCGCCCCAGTATGAAGAAGTTTGCCTGCAGATCCCATGCTGGCGAATGCTGGTGAGCTAATGACAGGGCCGATACAGCTTCAATCGAGATCGCTGCAAGGAATACAAGTAACCGAGCAACGGCCTGAGGATTTCCCCAGAACCTCAGGGTGGAGACACACGTGCGACACACGTGTGGATGAGAAGGCCCCGACTATGGCCTCCACTCATCGGTACTCTTTCGAAACGGCACGAGCTTTGGTTAAGTCTGCGCAGCTCTATACTGCCACTGAGGCACTTTACAAAGAGCTTCTTCACAGAGCCCTTCACAACCTCGCGGAGTGCGACACGAGTAGTTCGAGCCTTTGGCAAGGAACCCATGATCCATGCGTTTCTGTATAGATCCTTGCCTTAAGTTGTTTTCATGCGCTTCCCTGGCCTCAAAGCCTGCTCTCTCACAAGTAGGACACTGCTCCACTTTCGCAGGTTCCAGCTCGTTCCTGCGAATATGAGTGTCCGGAAAACAAGCACGGGATTCCTTAGACCTTCCTGCTCCGTTGCAGCCTCAACATGTGCCATGACCCAGCATCCATGGTTACCCTCTCACTCGCCCTCGGCTCTTGAGAATGAATGCACTTTCGGGTCCCGCAGTACGAGAGGGCGGCCAGCCTGGCAAATGTATGACTCAAAGTCACTGGGACATGCAATCATGCGTGCTCGCAGATCCGTCACAGCAGCCCAGAGCGCCTGCCCATGGCCAAGGCCTTCGGGTAAGGACTCAAGTGACTAAACTACCAAGAGAGGGTCTGCGCAGCAATTTGAACCGGTGAACCGATATCTTGCAAGCATCTTCTTGCAGCCAACACGCTGTAGGAGGATGAAAGAGAGCCATGATCTCCTGACAGCCACGAAACATCATCTCTGCCCAAATGCCAGTGATTCCGAGTCAAGCGTACTTCCCAGCGCAGTGAATGCGGCATCAAAGGCTGCTCGATTCGCGAGATCTTGCATTAGCAATAAGCTGGTCAGCAGAACCGCTCCTCGTCAGTGGGCTCCAACTCTACCTGCAAAAAGGCTTGCAAGACATCGCTCTCAGAACTGCATGTGGCCTTGCGAACGTCTTGAAAAGAACGCCACCTTCGCGCAACATTATATTCCCTACAGTACCCTCTGCCGAGCCTGGCTGCCAGCGGCGCATGCCTGGGAACCGAACAGGCACCCTGAGGAAGCGCACAGCCCACATACATGATTTGCTTGGAGCCCTAAACCAGACTCCTGGCAAACTTCTCCAAGATAGTATTCCGAGGAGGCCTCGTAGGTGTCTGAGTAGCATAAAGCACGTACCCCGCCTCTAGTCTCTAATCCCCTCTCCTGGCCACGTAGTGAAGTTTGCGCCCCTTTATTCGGTATTCTTTTGCATGGAATGGGCACCCCCCCAGTGGCACGTTGCATGCCTTCTCAGCAAGCCTGGGTTGAGGGTGTACGTTCAGCTGGTCTCTATAAATATATATATGTGTATAGATATATATATATATATATACATATATATACATATATGTGCGCGCTTGCGTGTTACAAACAGGATCCCCAAAAAGGAAAGCCCTGAGGCCGAACACGGTAGTAAGCCTCCAGGCCCCGGCCAAGGCGGGCCGCGTAGCGTTAAATATTTCGAGTACGAAGATCCGCAGCATTTGCTATCATTTGCTTACATGCCACGCTGATCTGGCACGTACTACTTCTTCCACCGTCGGAACTGCTGAGGTCGGCACAGCAAGGAGAAGCCCTGCGCATGCCTGCCAATGGAAACACGGATTCGGGGAACTCGAAACCGCGGATTCGGGAAACTGACAAGCGGAAATCGCGGCTTCAGAAAATTGGAAAGCGCAGATTCGGGAAACCACGGATTCGGGAATCGCAAACACGCTTGACATGAACGTTGTCACCCAGCCACCCACCCACCCACCCACCCAACCAACCACCCCACCACCCCACAACCCCGCCACCCAACCACCCAACCACCCAACCACCCAACCACCCAACCGGTAGCTAGGGTAGTTGTAACTTTTTTTTGCTTAGTTGTAACTTTTCTTTGCTTCGTCGTGACTTTTAGTACCTGGACTGTTGGCACGCGCAGTAATTATAAGGGAATTGGGGGCTTGGGGACCCTCAACCCCAATCAAACTCAAAACATCCCTAAACCCTAACAACCCCTGAGCCCTAAACCCTAAAAAACCCTAAGCATAAGCCCCAAAAAACCCTAATCCATAAACCCAAAAGAAGCCTAATCCATAAAGAGCCCAAATCCCTAAACCGAAAAAAAAACCAAACCCTAAAAACCCCCAAGCCCTAAACCTTTAAAACCCTAAAACCTAAAACCCTAAACCCTGAACCCTTGAAACCCCTGAACCCTAAACCCTAAAACCTGGCCCTAAACCCTAAACCCGAAACCCTCAAAAACCCGAAACCCTAAACCCGAAAAGCCCCTAAAACCTAAAAGCCCTAAGCTCTAAACCCTCAAAGCCCCTGAGCCCTAAACCCCAAAGACCTGGCCCTAAACCCTAAAACGCTAAACCCTCATAAACCCTAAAACCCTAAACCCTAAAACCCCTTAGCCCTAAAAGCCCTAAGCCTTACACCCTAAGAGCCCCTGAGACCTAAACCCCAAAATCCCGCAACCCTAAAAAAACCCTAAGCCCTAAACCTGAATAAACCCAAAACTTAAAAAAAATCCTAAGCCCTAAAGCCCAACAGGCCCTAAACATAGGCATGTTTTTCAAATCTCATCATGCGAGCATTTGTGTTTGCAAATGGGGGGGGGGGGGGGGCTGCGCCCCCAACCCCCCCCCCCCCCCCGCTTTATTCTTTTTCGAACCCATCATGCGCGTGTTCTGTTTGCAAATGAGAGGGGGGCTAAAAATCCTAAACCCTAAACCCCAAAAAACCCTCAACCCTAAAAATCCCCAAGCCCTAAAACCCCTAAACCCTAAAAACCCCGAAGCCCTAAACCCCAAGAAGCCCCTAAACTTTTAAACCCTAAACCCGAAACCCTAAACCCTAAACCCGAAAAAGCTTTATTCTTTTTCGAACACATCGCGAGTGTTGTGTTTGCAAATGGGAGGGGGGGCTAAAAATCACTAAACCCTAAACCCCAAAAACCCCTCAAAACACCTAAGCCCTAATAACCCCTATAGACAGGCACCTCCCATAGGTAGGACAGGGGCCTATAGCCCTAAACCCTAAACCCTAAACCCTAAGCCCCCCGAAAGCCCTAAGGGACAAGGCCTGAGCGCGAGAAACCCCGCAAGACTTGAAGCCTGTAACGGACTGCATATGCTGTAATTCACAGCATTCGCAGTTTGAGGCCGAAAAAAAGTTATAGGCAAGCAAGGGTTTTGGCACCCCTCCTCGAGAAACGGCACGGAAAAAGTTACGAGTAAGCAAACGAAGACATTACAAGCAAGTAAATGCAGCAAAAACACAGAAAGTTAAAGGCAAGCAAAAAAAGTTACAACTAAGCCACCCAACCACCCAACCACCCAACTACCCAACCACCCAACCACCCAACCACCCAACCACCCAACCACCCAACCACCCAACCACCCAACCACCCAACCACCCAACCACCCAACCACCCAACCACCCAACACCCAACCACCCAACCACCCAACCACCCAACCACCCAACCACCCAACCACCCAACCTACCCAACCACCCAACCACCCAACCACCCAACCACCCAACCACCCAACCACCCAACCACCCAACCACCCAACCACCCAACCACCCAACCACCCAACCACCCAACTACCCAACCACCCAACCACCCAACCACCCAACCACCCAACCACCCAACCACCCAACCACCCAACCACCCAACCACCCAACCACCCAACCACCCAACCACCCAACTACCCAACCACCCAACCACCCAACCACCCAACCACGCGCCCGCCCAACTACCCAACCACCCAACCACCCAACCACCCAACCACCCAACCACCCAACCACCCAACCACCCAACCACCCAACCACCCAACCACCCAACCACCCAACCACGCGCCCGCCCAACCACCCAACCACGCGCCCGCCCACCCAACCAACCACCCCCCACCCGGCTGTGGTTTGCTGAGTCGGGCAGTTTCCTAGATCACGTAGTTTCCACAATTTGTTGAATCGCCGGAGTGCTCTGAATCCTGCTAACCGCTCTGACCCTGCGACTCCCGAGTTTCGACCGTTCTTGCGTCTTACAGATCTTCCTACCTTGAAAACGACCCCGGGACAGCACCAGGAAACCACGGCTTGCCTTCCAGCTGCGGAAGGAAAAGCGGCCCATGCCTGCGGTGCGCACCCTGGACGAGCTGATCCTCGTTTGTGTGAAAAAAATGCATGACAGGAACATCGCAGGGCAACCGCTTGGGTGTACCAGACTCCTGAATGCGACCCACAAGGGTGTACCCGGCTCGGACCGGGGTCCAGCTCTTCCGCTACTGCAGCTGAGGCATCAGCTGAGGTTATCGAGGCTTTCGGTCCGCCATGAGCTCAGTTGGCTTTGATGAGTCGCTGATCCATTCTTGCTGCGTGGGGACTGCGTTGCTGTTGACGCTTCTTGACGTTTACTTGTTCTTCGAATCGACACAGAACTACAACTTATAATGTCTCTGCGCTGTGTTGAATGTTGAATACACAAATCGCCGGCACCAAGCGGCTGCCACGGATCCAGATGAACTGACCCATGACGAATCCTCTGCGCAGCAGAGAAGCAGCCTTTGTACCTGAACATTTGTCTCTTTAATCGGGATTTTGGATGCAGGCTCCCAACAGCCGCAGGCTGTTGTCATTACACCTCCGCTACTTTACGAATGATCGACTGCTCGAGCAGCATCTAAGGAAGTTTCCACAGGCTTGCAACGCTGAAGACTTGCCGTAGGCCTGCTTTTGATTTCTGGGAAACTCTGAAACATGGCCTCTCGAATGGAGGCCCACTGTAGGGAACTCCATACGCAAGACTACAAAGTTACTTGTCGTCACACTTTGTACGACACTTTCACATGCAGGTTGACCGTCTGGCTCTCGTTGGAACCACAGTCAACAATACGCAACTACACTACAGCAATACACCCTCACGTGTTGACTCCCATGAAAGAACCACCCACCCACGGGTCCAGATCCTCGCAGTGACGAATGATGTCGATGAACCGTGCGCAGGCCCCGGCACGAAGCGGTTTAGCTTGCACACTGCCAAAAATGTCAGGGCATGTCAAGACACTGGACCTCAACATATACTGATGTGAAAGCAAGATGACCTGACCTTGTGAGGACCTGCGCCATCGCTCAAACCGCCAAGGATGGACTCGGATAGACATTCTCCGTCTGACCCTCACCGTGCGCACCTGGATTCATCTCGCGCGTGCGGAGAAGAGCGGCCTCACCAGGCTGAACGTTTTTGAGATGCATCTTTACAACTCTGACTCTCTTGACTCTTAGTGTACTTGCACTCTATTTTGTTGCCTCTCTCTCCTTATCAGCTCATTCTATCCAGCAAAGTTGCTTCACCCCCGCTTTTCCGCAGCTCTTCTTCTGCGTGTTGCAGTGCCTGGGAGTAGCCATGGTCACCTCCCGAATGACAGGGCGGCCCAGCACCTCAAAAGCGGAGTGCCATGTGCAGAAACAGCCCCCTCTAGACTCCATAGACACAGAGGACAAAAAAGCACTGCGTTCTTTTCACAACAAAGGTCTCTTTTGAGACTTGACCGGAAGCCAGCGAATCTGAAGAACAGGCCCCCTACCACACGCGGCTCCAGCGAGGGCGAAGAGCGGGAGGAGCCCAGGGCCCTCCACAACAAGAGACCAGATGCTTTTGGGGTCCTCTCAGCTCTCAAACCCGATGCGAAAACAATATGTGAAGATACACACAATGTATATACATATATATATATATATGTATATATACATGTATATATGTATATATTTACATATACATATATATATATACACACATACATATATACATATATATACACCTCTAAATTATGCACATCCCCTGAGGGGCCCCTATCTTCTCTCCAAAAAGAGGCCATGTTACAACAAACTGGACCAGAGCTGGCAAGTGCTGATCGAAACAACTCAGCCGGCGCCACCACGCGCTGGGCGTGAGGTCCCTGACCCCACTCCGGTCCACCAGGAGCCCGGAGTCCTGACAAGAACTTTCTCCAAGTCTGAGGCACACTGGGCCCTGGGTTTAGGGGGGTGATCTTAAGGCCTTGAAGTTTGGGTTGAGATCTTCAAAACTCAAAAATCCCTGTTGTCTTTCCCCGCTGCGGCCTTCTGAGTGGGGAGCACCGTCTTGGTCCGCGTTTGGGGCCTCAGTGTGGCTCCTGCAGCAAAGGAAGCGGGACAAGGGAATGCGCTTCACCGTAGCTGAAAGGGTTATGTGCTCGCATCTGTGCACCATGTCTCCTGACACTGCGGTCGTCTGGAATGCGATGCGAGACGTGCGAACGGAGCTGTATGGCCTCGGAGACGCGCGGTGAGGCACTTGTAGCTGAAAGACCCATTGAGACAGTTCGAGTTCAGACAAGCCCATGGCACACAGTTGCCATTGCTGTGGAGAACCGAGCCATACAACCTAGCAGCATCAAGGCTTCCAGCCTAGACCACTACACAGATCTACACAGGCAGCATAGAAAAGTGCAGGTAGCATTGTTGAATCACTTCATCTCAGTGGTGGAATGCCACATCCCCAGCCTGGGCTGCAGCTGCGAAGCTGAAGAAGCGAGTCGGCTGGCGATGGGCGTGATCTGGCAAGCAAAGAAAGAGGCAAGCGAAGGCCAGAACGGGAAACGCCAGCGGCCCGGAATTCGACGCGGCTGCTCAGCCCCGACCTGCGCCGGTCGCAGCCGCGCGCTGTAGGTCTCCGAGTGCCTTCAACCCACTTGACCAGGTGACTGTGGTGACTGTAAGTCACACTGTAAGTAGCAATGCAAGTGGAGTGTAAGTAGAATTGATTAGAACTATGCAACGATAGAAGCCCGCGCAAACTTCAGTCAAGCCGAGTCTGCAGAAGAACAAGACTGAGGCCTTGCAATGCGCGTTGACAAAGGGGGACTGACCCCAACCTGCAGAACAGGGGCTGCTAGGGTCTTTCTCTAGGTGGTACCTGGGCTTTTGTCACAGCAGGTCATGGCTCAACCTCAGGCTCGGAGATGCTGTGCAAACTCCTCGACCTGGCATCAGCTTCACATGTCGCAAACTCGCCCCCCAAAGCTGAAACGCAGAGTGCGAAGCAATGCAAGACCAACATGGAGGATCGGGTCACGTGCATTGAACCAACGGGAAAGACACGTGAAATTTGGGCAACCCGAAAAGCCTGAAGCGTTTTACCCTGTGTTTTTAAGGCGGATCACAGCTGTAATCTGCTACAAGTGTATGTGCGGCCATGCTTCGACCATTGCCATTGACCCTCACCCGCTGCATCCTATTCTCTGGTCGTCACAACTTCCCAGTTCTTCCCCCACTTCCCCACTTCCGGGTTGATGTAGAAAATTTCATCAAACTAGAGATGGCCCTTGGCAACCCCTACTTGGCCTTTTGTGTTTGAGCTTGACCGATGAGCTGTATATCAAGTGGACCACGGTTCACAGGAGTCGATCTCAGGCATAAAGTTAGAGGAGAGCTGCCAATCAAGAAAGGAAGGTGAGCTGGGGTCGTCCTGCAACATAAGCAAGAGGTTGGGGGTTTGAATGGGTTTGAGGATCAGGACGGCAACTTAGAGCACCCTGACGCCTGTACAGCGCCGACGTCGCGTGCCCATTCTCCGGCTGCAGCTCGGCAGTGCCAACGGTGCCAACTTACAGTAGGCGGAAGGCACGTCCGTCTCTCTTTGACAAAAGAAGAAGAAATCTGTTCAGAACCTTGAGCTAAGGGCCTTCCAACTTCAAAGCTGGACGAGGGCGTCGAATCCAACCGTTACCCGTCTCAAAACAGTTGCCCCCACACATCTCGGTGCTCAACAGTACACTGCCTAGAAACCGCAGGGTGCGGGGAAGGCAAACTTGCGACAGCCCTTGAGGCTCAAGCGAACGGTTTCTGCCGGTTTCTCCTCGAGGGTCCTGGCAGCCTCAAGCTTCAGGGCCACTGCACCATTGCTGCACCGGTGGCCGTGGCCTGTCCGAGGTCCCGGCAACTGGCGTTGCTCGCGCAGAGCCCGTTCCTTTAGAGCCTTCACATCACGGCTTCTGAGGTCAATTGCCATCTTGCACATACGACTTCTTGGCAGACATCGCTGTGGTTTGGCAAGTTACTCTTACAGCTGGTTCAGCAAACCCTAGAGGCTTTGCTGGGCACCCAATCACCTAATCGGAAAGGAGCCTGGTGTGGGAACCTCCCGACTCGGCGAGCGCCGCGCCCTGATGGCCGGAACAATCTGACGCCGCGACCTCACTCGCAGCGTGAGAGAGAGGGGAAACCTCTTCGAATTGAAGTGCTTCATACGGTTTTCAAGGCTTTTGCTTGGAGCAGCTCGGCTTGAGGTTAGCGTGTCTACCTGGTTCCTTCTTTGGGGAAAGACTTCCTCATGACACACTCAAAATGGCAATACGTACCAACTCCTGCTCAATCCTGGGCCCGGACGAGAGGAGTGTCTTCGGCGGGTCTACGTAGCCCCGCGCACTGTAGGGAACACTTCGGCGAGGGCCTTCAACTGCTCGGCGCAACTCAATGCTTCATTTGCTTTATGTGTTATGCAACTGATATCAAAGTTGTCGCTTCCTATGTGGGTTTCACCAAGGATCACTTCAAAATCAGGGGCCCTGGCCGGAAATGAGCAATGAAGAATGAAGTCTGGCCCTATGTGATGCGGCCTCATGTGGAAGCATGCAAAGTACTATGTACCGGGTGACGACACGGGCTATCGGGCCAATATCTGTACACTGTACACTGTACACCTGCTGGTCACACCTGCACAATGCCTCCTTCACAGGCGGTCGCAACCGCCCTCAAAATTTCCCCTTCCCCTTGCCCTTCCCCTTGCCCTTCTCACCTTTGCCGCCGCCGGAGCCATACTTTGGGCCCTTCTCCGCCGCCGCTCGGCGAACACAGCTGGCAATCCACTCGCCCGTGCTGGGAAAGCTTGGTCTGGCAGCACCAATGCAATTGTAGTAGGCGGTCCAATCCCCCACAGACTCCTTGCGCTTCCGCCATTCTGCCTGCAGGTGCTCCAACCGCTCTGGAAGCTTGCAATTTGTCTCCTCCATGTCGCTGAGGGTCTTGGCCACATCTCCGATCACAATGTCCACGACTGCCATCTGAAACATCAGGATCTCCCTGGACACCTTGGTGGCCTGAAACACAGCTCCGCCGTCGGGTGGGGTGCCGGAGCGCTGCCACCACATCACCCAACGGAGGGAGTTCTCGTCAGCATACGTGCTGATGAAGTCATCCCTCGCCGGACAGGCCGGGTATCCCTGCATAACCGTGAACAGAACCAGCAGTGCCCCCAGATCTGGCGAGTGGTCCTTGTGCCGAAAGGACTCCTCCTTGACGAATCGTGTCAGGGTGTTGGCGACCTTGTTGCGGAGGCCTTCTCGGGTGTCCACTAGCCAGCGAAAGGTTCGCCAGAAGTTGCACAGAGCCTCGAAGGTTGCAATCGCGGCACTCTTGTCTGAATCAGGTCTCATCATCTCTACGATCATCTGGTTGATGAGCCGAGGAAACACCTCCATGGCTGCTGCATCCTCGTTGCCAGCCTCGAAGACGCTCCTGCCAATCTGTAGGACTTGCTTTCTTAGCTCTTCGCGCCACTGCGTGCTCCCTGCAGCATGCGCCTCATTGATCCAGACTGGCAGGAAGAACTCAAACGGAGACTTGTTGGTGTTTTGGCGCAGACCCCCGTCGAAGGCCTCCTTGGAAAGCAGCTCACCAGCTGTCCCCAGATTCTTGCGCTCCCGGCTGACGCCCACACCTAACAAAGCCTCGGTGTAGAGCTTGCCAGTGCTCCAGCAGCAGATGTTCTTGTCGATTTTTGCCACTGATTCCGTCTCGCTTGCAGAGCATGAGCCAGATGCTGTGGACGCCACATCAGACAGCAACTCCAGAAAACTGTCCAGCTGCCCTTCCCGCTCAACAAGGCCTGCCCTGCGAGCGATTTTGCTGACACGCTCGACTAGTGCATCATCCCCGCGGCAAATTCTACGCAGCTGCTGCTGCACCTGTTGCTTTCGACGCAGTTCGTAGATCTCGTCCTCGTCGAGGATCGGCAAGACTGCCCTGGGATTCTTCTCACAGAAGCGAACTGCCGACTGGTACGTCTTGTCTCGCTCCTGCTGGGTCATCTGCGTTCCCAGGTCACAGAGGACGGACTGCAGCTGAATCATAAGTGTCGTGACTGTGTAAGCGGGGCTCCAACCGCTGCCTACGGTGCTCTTCCACTCCGTGTGGACATGGCCAAAGTTGCCAAGCACGTCCAAGCAAATCACGAGTTTCCCCTTGAGTCGTCCGTCCGGTTGCACATAGGAGGCCCCTCCCCGGTACTGGAATTCAAAGGAGAAGCCGATATTCGGTGCACTCAGGGGATAGTCACAAGGAAAGTCGATCAGGAAGTGGAGGGGCACCGTGACGCAGCCCAGGTGGGTTACCTCCATCTGCGTGCCGATCACGCCGTTCCATAGGCTGAGGTCGGCATCCGAGCAGGGCGCTGCTGCTGCCAAGGGGATGGGCTCTTCTTGGAGGGTCTTGAGGTCGGCTAGGATGCGTCGGCGGGCCGCTTGGCTCAGGGGAGCGGAGGACATGGCGAACTGTGTGCGAACTCGGTGGAAGCTTTCGCGAGCGGCTTCGGGCATTGAGGGGCGCTGCGGGAGAAGGACAACTGATATGATATCAACGCAATCCTTGTCCCGGATGTCCGCTGCTTCTCTTGCACAGGAAGCCCTTTTAGTCACCGAGGGCATTTTAAGGGGCTGGGGCTCCAGAACTTCACAGAGCAATCTGAGCAATCTTCTCATAAAGGCACCGACTGGGCCTTGTGTGGTTACGCGTCCCGTCGTTCTGGCTTCCTACCATCCCAGACTCTTAGCCTCTTAGTGCTGGTGTATGCGAGCGTTGTGCCGTCCGCACATCTTCCAAGAACCAACATGAATGTAAACCGTTGTTTAAGTTCAACAAGAATACAAGCAGCGAAATACAGGCTGTTGCAAGCGTCAATTGGTTCACTGGGCCGCCCCGCTGAGAGCTGGTGGGCCTGGGGGCGCCACGACGGTGGCGCTGCGTGTCGGCCGCGCTCCGGTCTGGGATGAGTTTGGGCGGATTGCTACATGGCTGGAGCTCGAGGAGTCAGCGATTGTAAGCATGGCAGCAAGAGCTCTAAGAGTTGTACACCAAGGGCGATCTCTGCATAGCGAGGACTGCCGGCTTTCTCTTGAGCTTCGAACGTGTAGCAAGCTACAGAAGGTTTCGAGCGATTCTCTGTGGCGAACACGTGAGACTCAGCTTCTGTCGCCATGTTCGCCAGGAGCTGATCCACATGCGTGCCAAGATGCCAAGGCCAGCGGGTGGCCAGCCAGAGCTCGCGTTCTTGGCGAAGGCTCCGTGCCCTCGAGAAAAATCTGGTGCACTAAAATGACTATAGTGTGTGTGTGTATGTATGTATGTATGTATGTATGTATGTATGTATGTATGTATGTATGTATGTATGTATGTATGTATGTATGTATCAGGTAGGTATGTATGTATGTGTGTGTGCATGCACGTGTGTATGTGTGTTGGTTGAGAGTCATGCCTTGTCTGCCCCAAAGGCAGTGCGGATCAGGGAGGGTCGAGAGGCAGGCTGCCCCTGGCAGGGAGAATACATGATGACATTACAGCAATCTTCACACCACAAAACCCGAGCAATCCGCTCTCTCACCTGGCTATTCGCAGAAGCTTGCAATGCCTAAGCGTCGTGATTGTACACACGATGCAGTGGCGACAGTTGCTTCTCAGAGGGCCCGGCTGTCTTCGACGACTTCTCGCTCCCTCGGATAAATCTCCGAGTCTAATCTTTACCAGAAGACATCTAAGAATCGCCCTGGAACGAACGAGAGAAAATGATGCTTGCTCCATGTGCGTTTCTCAAGTCGACCAGAGGTTGTATCGTCAAGCTTGGACTTCGCTGGCGGCTGACAGTTCAGTAACTAAGGCCCATGCGCGCGGGAGGACTCTTTTGAGAAGCCTGGCAATGGCTGAAAGATAAAGACCCAAGAGACATGTTTCGTCCCATTCCCCTTGTCAGGTGTCGCTGACACCCCCCCCCCAAATCCCTAACCACAACCCGAAACCCCAAATGGGCCTTGCAAGGCTGGGTTTAGGGTTTAGGGTTTAGGGTTTAGGGTTTAGGGTTTAGGGTTTAGGGTTTAGAGTTTAGGGTTTAGGGTTTAGGGTTTAGGGTTTAGGGTTTAGGGTTCATGCTGCTTCAATCGATCAGCCCACTGAGGGTCCGCCATGCTGAGCCCCTTTTGAGACCGCATGGCAATACCGAGTCAAACTTCTCTAGCATGAAGAATAATCATGCCCTAATAAAATATAGAAGAGTATGTATGAAAGAATAAGTGCCCGAGATATGCATGAGGCGTGCCTCCCGTGAGACGCGCGTCATCGAAATCGCAGTGCCCCCTTGGGTTGGAACATAGGTGAATAGAGCTGAACAGTGGCGAGGGCAAGTATGCTTTTAGCAGGCTCTGCTCCAGAGTGCTACAGTCCTTCAAGGCTCACGTGTAGGGCGTTGGCCTCCACTTTTTCGACCACCGGAATCGCCGGCTCTTGCCACCTGGCAGATGACGTATGAGTCTGCACTGCACACATGTTCCAGGAAACGCGCTGGGCTGCACAGCAGTGTCCGGCACATCTGTAAGGCTTCTAAGCATGGAAGGGTCACTGCATCGACAGACTGCGACGGCGAACGCCGACTTCCTGTGCTGGAGGTGGACTGCACGGAAGACCTAGCGCACACCAGGGCAGAAGCAAGAACAACGCCGGGGCATACTACTTCACTGAGGAACGTGACCTTGCCCAGGGGCAAGCAAGCACTGCTAATATGTCGGTCCGACACCACCTGGCCCCAAAATGCGGGTGTCCAGCCTTCCTTCCCAAGAGGATGGGGGGGGGGGGGGGTGGCGGCTTTCTGAGCCATGCAGAAAAAGAGGAGAGGTCTGTTGTCTTCAACACTCACATTCTGGGACCTCTGGGTTTTGCTGTTGGGTATTGTTGCTGTGGTCGGAATGTCAGGTGTGTTGGATGGTGTTGGTGGGTGCCGGGATGGTGTTCTGAGACCATGTGACCATGTGTCCTGTCAGCATTGATTAACGTGATTACGTCTCTCGTCCCACGCGCACGCGTTACACACCCATGTCCAATCGGCCTTCCACGTGCCAACACCGGCGTTGCCTCTTGGAGCATCGTTTCTTTCAACGTTGTTTGTCGTTATTCGCTGTGTGCTTCGCCCGTTTGATCACGCTACTGTTTTGCAAATACCTGCCGGTGATAGCTGCCTCTTCCTTGATTCACGCAGTCTCTCGGAGCATCAAACTTCACTGGCTCTGAGTGTCGGGGCGATCGTCTCAGCCCCGAGGGACGCCAAGCCGCTGACTTTGCCAGCCTTGAAGGATTGGTCGAACCGACAAGTCAACATTTGCCTTGTGTGCCTTGTGCTGGCAAGCCTTGCACACAATTCAATAGCATGCATCTGGGACCACGGCGTGTTGCGAGCTACGTCAGCGCCTGGCGTTGCCAGCTCAATGGTACAATCCCCTACTTGAGAAAATCACATTCCAGTTTCCAGTTACCCTCTCCAAGCCCAGCCTGAAGGAGCTTCTTTATTCAGCTCTTTGAGCAGCTGCTCCTTTGGCTGACACAACTGCCATTTAAGGACATCTGGTCAGCTCAATATTGGCATGTAGCTGACTGTAGCATCTTTTGCAGCATCTTCAATGTCAAGTATGTTGACTTCAGCAAGTTGCCTCCCATGCAATGCATCATACTGCATCCCTGGCCTGGCACTGCAACTGAGCGGCGCTGGCCTGGCATTGGGTACTCGAATTTGAAGCTCTCGAAAGGCAGCCGCGATACCACCGCCATCTGCAAATCCTGCCGACTTGGGTACCTCCATTTGCCCAGACACCAGTGAGAACTGGTAGTAGCAAGACCTGCAGCAAACCAGCCTCTGCAGAACCGAGACTGGGCTAGTTCTGTGTCAGGTGCCGCCAAGAGGCAGCCATGACCTGAATGCCTCATAACATTGCCCAGCCTGCCAGGATCATGAACGCTCTGCACTCTACCACAAGCTGAACGAAGCTGTGCGGTGCACATCGTCGAAGCTTTAACTGCTTGAAGGGATGAACCTTCACCCTATCGCTGCCAGCTTCGAATCAAGACATCATGCCGCGGCCTCGTTTAAGCTTCCGCGCCAGCTGCTGTCGCAAGTAAGGAGGTAGGGAGCCAACCTGCCGAAGACGTCCATCTCAGGAAAGCCAGGAGCAGGTTGTCTCTTGTGGAAGGCTTCGCTTGTGCACAAACCCTTGGTTAACTGGTGCTGTGTGACAAGACCAGTTACAGCACGTTGCAGTGACAGGAGAACTGATGGTGCAATTGATACGTTGTCAAATTGGGGATTTCTCATGAGCCTCAAGCAAGATTCGTTCCTGAGATGATCCGCGAATGCTGGCAAGAAAGGGGGGCCTTCTGGCCAAGCTACCCGGTGCGGCAGGCAGCGAGGCCAGTGTTTCGACCAGCGCCTTCGGATCCTTCAAACTCTGCAACCCTAAACCCTAAACGCGCTAAACCCTAGAGTGCTTCGAAATTCGGCGACACAGTAGAGCTTCACGTCAGCTGGACACTCCAACCAAAGCTAGATGGCTTGGTGAAGGCTCCGGCATGCATCCTTGCAGAATGTGGCCCAAGAATGCCACAGATCTCTTCAGCACCAACAACGAGGGTCTGATTACTCTGTCTGAGTTTGGGGTGGAAACTGGGATCCGAATCTCTCATTTGCTGGCCTTGCCTGGAGAAGCCACCGGCAAGCGGCCACCAGATCTTCCCGTCGTGATGTCACTTGGGCATTGCAGACAACGCACCTGAGACACGCAGGCATGGAAGATTGAACGCCTTCTCGATGCAGCAAAAACTTCTCAGGGACAGATTTGAAGTTCAGGACTCTTGGTAACCCAACGTTCCGCAAAGTCTTTGCACGTGAGTCTTTCTCGAGACTAGGCAAGCTATTCAATAGCATACAGGTTCAGATCATGTCTGCAGATCGAGAGCCGGGCAGGCATTCCATTATCCCCAGCAAGCTTTCAGGTTCGGCACCGCCATGAAAGCCTCCCAGCCTCAGTTGCAGGTCCCAAACTGTTCCACCCACACGACTGACACGCATGTAGTAACTCTGTGGATCAATCACTTAAGACATCCTGAACATTGAGCGCAGGTATGAGTTTGATGCTGTAAGAACCAACTCGCTACAACGCAAACGTCATCTGGAACTGTTCCGACCCACACCCAAATACATCCGCATGCTGAAGACAGACACAAGTATCAAGAGTCGCCTTCAAAAAGGATTCCACTCTTGAAGCATGGCCAAACTGAGCACATGGATTACCAAGACTCAGCAGCGTTCACTGCACGGCTCTCATCCTCACTTCGTGCCAGAGCCACTGCGCAAAGTTGTCAGTTCTCGCAACTTGCCATGTGCCAAAAGCCAACTCACAAAAAAATCGCAATCCTTGCCAGTTGTTCAACATCGGTTGCCACATGTTGTTGACATCGGCAACACGAACGAGCCACGGCAAGACTGCGCTGCATGTCGGTCTTGGGC